GTCCTCCAAGGAAATATTAACTTTTCCTAAGAATTTTAAAATTTTTACTGAGATCATAACAACATAATAAATGTTAATAATAATAACATTAAGAACAGAAAGTTATAACATCAATGAGTATGAAATGTCTGCTCTTAAATTCCACTGGAGGAACACACTCAGACAAGAAGGGGTGGCAAAGAGAATTAGCTGAAATTGAGTTTTCTCTCAACAGTGGATCAGAATATCAGATTGGCTGATTTCCAGTTCAAGTTGCCGCTAAAGCAAAATTCAATGTCCAATATTCACTTGGAAATTCAGTTGAGTCAAGGAGAAAGCTCTATTTAAGTTTGAGAAAATGTTATATATAAAAATCTTACAGCTTTGTTTTGAGATCTCATAATACTTGGATATAATAAAAGAACAATTTCCATGAGTTTTAATTTCATAAAACTAGTATGAAGCCTTCAAGTAGAATAATTCACAATTAATAAGTATTGTTTATTTATAATGAGAGAGATATTCTTAATTTAAACTTAAATAAAGGATTTAATCTTCAGCGTATCTATTCACCAGAATCTGAAATAATATTAAAAAGGGCTACATTATGTTTTAGAGATAAATTTGATAAATATGTTTCCATAGAATATATATCTTCACATTCTAGATAGGATAATTCAGAGCAAATAAAAATAAAAAACAACTGTAACTCTAGAAATGTGAGCAAGTGAACATTTTACACAGATTTTAAGAAATAACCCCTAAAGTAAAAAATAAATTTATTTATTGTGAAAAAAATGTTCAATGTTAAAATAATCCAATTAACCAGAAGGACAGCCAAAAACAAAAGGATATTTGTATAAAACCTCTGTACTATTTTGAAAAATGAAATTTAGTTTCAATAGTAATAGTACCACTATATTCTTAAAATAGGTTGAATAGCATTTTAATAAGTACATATTCATTAACATATACATTAGTTTTTAATTCAAATTTGATCTATCGGCCGTAATTATTGATAATTTGTTGCAGTAAATAGTGAATATGGCAGAAATACCAACCCAAAAGGCTGTTTTAATGATAGTATATAGTTCCATTCTATTGGATAATCTTCTTCTGACGGTTGTAGGTAAGTAGATGTTTCTTAAATTTTCTAATGATTTATAAATGTTATGGGATTTTCATTTATGCATCCTGTTCTTCTAATATATAAATTATATTGAAGTATTTGTAGGAACAAAACATTTGAGATAATAATAAATTTGTGAAAACCGTCAAGTTGATTGATATCTGCTTTCAAGAATAATAACCAATCAAAAACAATCTGTGTACTTAATAATCTCAATTTACATGTTTTCACAGTTCCAATTGTTCCTGACTACCTTATATCAGTGGAAGCATTAACTCGAAGCATGAACCCACTGAAGATGCAAACAAACAGGTACCAACACAAATATAATAGTTACATATTTTAAAGTAACATCAATAAATGTTACAAATCTTAATATAATTTTATTAATTATAATAGCTAATTGTACTTACATATTTCAAAGTTCAACAGAAGGATATGAAGAACAACTGAATGAAGAAAATGGAAAAGTTGGTTTCCTGCTATCTTCAAAAGCTGTTGTTCAAATTGTATTTAACCCCATTGTTGGATGTGCAGCAAGGTAAATACCTGAAAATTTAATAATTATTAAAATTAATGGCTTACTTTCTCTCTCTCGATCAGTGAGAATAAAGATTTTTTCACTGGTTTGGACCAATGGAAGGCAAGGGAATCTCCTTGTTGAACATCATTAGTGGAAAATCTTCCAAGTAGATCCCCTTGAATTCGAACCATACATTCAATATTGCTCATTGTAAGTTTAATCTGGTGGATTAGCTTTGTAGATATATTAATTAGTGCGCTTAATAAAATTTAATAAATAATGATTGAAACAAATATATTTTATTTATTGAAAGTAAACAGTAAATTGTAAATTGGTAAAGTCAGTACCAATATCACCGTCAGACCAGAACTATCATTATCTTGAAATAATTTACTATGCTCAAACTGCATGCCTATGTATATGTAAAATTTACCATATACCATCACATAGATCATTTTCTTAATTATTATTAAATCATAATTCTTAATTGTGGGTTGATGATTGACTGTAGTGAATATTTGAAGAGAAGAATGGTTTGGGGTGATCAGTCAAAATAAAAAATAGCAAAAATAAATAATAATATTTATTTTTACATTTGCCGACTTTTCGGCCCGAAGTTCAGGCCTTCATCAGAGGTGAGAAAGAACCAGATAACAATAGGTATGAGAAACATATACAATATAGGTAGAAAAACATAAAGTAAAATAAAGTAAACAGAGTGAATATTAAATAAAATGTAAAACAGGAATATGAAGTTATATAAGGAAATAATATATATAAAAAGAAAATTGAGTTAATGATAAGTTAAAAAAGATTGAAAAGTTAAAATAATGTAAAAAAAAAGAAAGAAAAATAGAGCAAATGCTCACTTTTTATTCCCTTATACGAAGTCAGTATATTTTGATACATTTTACAATATCTCAAATTTCTATTTATATCTATTATTTCTGTATATAACTTCATATTCCTTATCTCTGTTTTACATTTTATTCTAACATCACCATTTTTAGTTCTTATGTTACCTTATTTTGATTATGTTTACTCCATTAGCCCGCACTTTGTAGCCGTTATTATTATTTATTTCTTAGTTCTCTGATATTGTCATTATTCTACCTACTTTATTTTACTTTAATATTCACTCTATCTACTTCATTTTACTTTAAGTTTTTCTACCTACATTGTTTATGTTTCTCATACCTATTCTTATCTGGTTCTTTTCTCAGCCCTGATGGAGGCCTGAACTTCGGGCCGAAACGTCGGCAAATGTAAAAATACATATTATTATATATTTTTGTTATTTTTTATTTTGACTGATCACCCCAACCATCTTTCTCTTCCATAATTCTTAATTATGCCCTAGAATTAAATTTATTACATTTTCAGGTACGTGGGATATACGATACCTTTGTTTGTGGGAAATATTAATCTCTTAGCTTCATCAGCATGTGAGTATACTAATCCATTATATACCAAATTAATAATTAAATCAATTTAATTCCATTTTAGTGGTATTACTATAGGTTCCCAATAATTTTCTGTTTAAAAAATATAAATGTATTTACATAATGATGATTTAAAAGAGTCATTAATCTTATGAGTATTAGTTCATAAGTAAATAAAGCCATTTTTAACTTCTTTTTTGCTATAATAGTTGCAGAATCTAATGTCAAACTAATCATGGAAATTATATAAGTAAAAATAAATATATTCTGTGATATTTGAGAAGTAATTTTATCAATTATTTACAGTGTATTCTCTTGGTGAAAGTTACTTGGCACTTTTCTTAGCCAGAAGTTTACAAGGATTGGCTTCAGCATGCATTGGAGTCTCAGGTAAAGTAAATTTATTTAATTTAGATTATCAAAATGGAAAAAATTAAAATATTATGTGGTTTGAAAATAAATAATAAATATGAGCCGGGGAAACTGAAAGGTAAGCTACTAATATATATACTAATATTTAGGTAAAGTTTATGAAATGTTTGGATCTATAACTTTAATCTGCTATGTTATAAATTGTCTTTTCTCTGCCAAAAGGGAGTTTTCTTCTCACAAAGAAAACTCTTTTTTTTAACCATCAATTTTATGTTTTTTGCATAAATATTCTGACCTATATTATTAAATTTATTTTAAATAAAAGATTTTTCAAAAAAATAAAAATGCAACACTTTTTTTTTAATCGACAAAACATTTTTTAGGTCAATTGAATGACTCACTGAGTAAGTAAAATTTGTAGATAGGTATAAATTTTAAAAAATAGCACAAAAAAGGAAAACAAATTTTTTTTTTTTTTGTTTGTAATGTAAAGAAATAATTTTGAAAATAGCTAAAGCAGAAACATAGCAGCAGATAGAAAATAAAAATTAAAAACTAAATGAAGTGAACAATTCTAGAATTCTGTCATATAAGGTTGTAATACAATGGAAATCTCAAATTCCCTTAGGAGATATCAATGTAAAATTTTTAAATTAATGTAGGAACTTAATCTTAGACCATATTTGTTGCTAAGTTGTGTCAGGTTCTCAAATCATTAAATAATATAGAAACTTTGTTTTAATTATGTTTTGGCAACATGTATAACTTACACAGAGTAGTTGAGATGCCTTTTTTTGTTGTATGGTGTCCTGACATTAGTTGAAATATAAAAATACTTATTTCAACATAAAATTCTTGTAATAAATTTATATAGTGATAGCTAGAACGTATGCCGGAATGCAGTTAGAATGGCGGCATTTCTCGATAGTTGTATTTCTATCGATACTTGACACAATAATTAAATTTCTTAATACATAAAGTACAATAAGAAATTCAAATTTTGTTATCAAAAACCACTGAATAACTAAGCTACATTAAAACTTAAAATGATAAAAATCTTGAGATTTATGTTACTAATACACCAACATTATAATCGATTCTTTTTATATTTACAATTTATGAGATTTTATTTATATTTAATAGTAATTTATTATATATTTTAATATATCGAAATATTTTTAGACCTTTTTAAAAACGTTCAATCAATCGCTGTGATATCATTAAAATCGAATAACCACAATCGATTAAGTATTAATGTAGTTTTGGGCATGGTTAATCCCTGTCAATTTATTGTCAAAAATTGTCTAAAATAGAAGTGACAGTGTTTTTATTAACTTGAGAATGCTCTAAAAACCTGGAAATTCAACGAAAATCGAACTTACGTTCTAAAGTTTTCGTAATATGACTGATATCATTCTAAGAGTGTCATTTCATGATAGTTTATTGAGTGATAAAGTTGGTGATTTTATCTTTGACATTTATTTTTAAAATCCTTTGAATTACAAATGGTATATTTGCTTTGAATTAACTAAAGTCCGAAACAAACACCTCTGAAATGTCTGACAAAGGTCATGGATCACCTCAACCCATTGTGAAAATTGGTCATTATATATTAGGCCAAACTTTAGGAGTTGGTACATTTGGTAAGGTTAAAATTGGTGAACATCAGCTTACCAAGCATAAAGTCGCAGTTAAAATATTGAACCGACAGAAAATTAAGAGTTTGGATGTTGTTGGAAAAATCCGTCGTGAAATTCAAAACCTCAAACTTTTCCGCCATCCTCATATAATAAAATTGTACCAGGTCATTAGTACACCCACTGATATATTTATGATAATGGAATATGTCTCTGGAGGAGAACTTTTTGATTATATTGTTAAACATGGGAAACTTAAAGAGTACGAAGCACGAAAGTTTTTTCAACAGATAATATCTGGAGTAGATTATTGTCACCGTCACATGATTGTTCATAGAGATCTGAAGCCAGAAAATCTTTTATTAGACCATAATTGTCATGTCAAAATAGCTGATTTTGGGCTTTCCAACATGATGATGGATGGTGAATTTCTACGTACAAGTTGTGGGTCTCCTAATTATGCAGCTCCTGAAGTTATTTCTGGTAAATTATATGCTGGACCAGAAGTGGATATCTGGTCATGTGGTGTGATTCTTTATGCATTGCTGTGCGGTACATTACCATTTGATGATGAGCATGTTCCTACACTGTTCCGGAAAATAAAATCAGGTATATTTCCCATTCCAGACTATTTGAACAGAACTGTTGTAACACTGTTATGTAGAATGCTTCAAGTAGATCCCATGAAAAGAGCAACAATAGAAGATATAAAGACACACGAATGGTTTCAAACTGATTTGCCTGCTTATTTGTTTCCTTCACCCGTGGAACAAGACTCTTCAGTCATTGATATGGATGCCATACAAGAAGTTTGTGATAAATTTGGTGTTAAAGAGCATGAAGTTCATGATGCTCTTTTGTCAGATGATCAGCATGATCAACTCAGGATTGCATACCATCTTATAATTGATAATAAGAGAATAGCTGATGAAGCAGCAAAGGCAGAACTGAAGGATTTCTATGCTGTTAGTAGTCCTACACCTGTAACGTTTAGTTCAACAGAACTAGTACCGAGTCCCGTTAAACCTCATCCTGAAAGAATGAATCCAGCATTGCGGGAAAGAGGTGCAGGCAATAAAGAAGCTAGCAATAAGGACTCATCCGAAACTGGACAAACTACTCAGAAAAGAGCAAAATGGCACTTAGGAATAAGATCTCAAAGCAAACCGACTGATATCATGAATGAAGTTTATCGTGCTATGAAAGATATGGATTTCAAATGGAAAGTTATTAATCCATACCATGTCCGAGTTAGGGTTCAGAAGTTCAATAACCAAGATGAGTTCATTAAAATGTCGCTTCAACTCTACCAAGTTGATTATAAAAGTTATTTATTAGATTTCAAAAGTCTTGGCAATGAAGAAGATGTACAGTCAAACGATGGAGATATTGTTTCACAACATCATTCTTCAGGTCATCAAATAATGGAGTTTTTTGAATTGTGTGCATCCCTGATTACACAGTTGGTTCGATAATTTGTTTCATTAATTTTCAAAATGCTATTTATTTATTAGTCCTTTATTCATTGTATAATATTTAACTTGAGCGTAAATGGAGTTGTCAAACGATTCCAGCTTGCCCTTAAGTATAAAAAAAGATGTAAATGCTTGGTTTTTAATACTTTCACTTGATTTGTATTCTTGCATATGTGATCCTAAAAATAATTTTTTATTGTTATGAATGTAACCAAAGTTAATGCTTTATTGTTTTATAGCTAGTCCTGTAATTGTAGAAAAGATATTTTTATAGAACATAGAAAATTATTGTTCTCTTTTATTGTTACATTTATTAGAACAATAAATCCCAGCATAAGTTCCTTTAATTTCTTCTTACCTTTTTCTTTATATCTAGTCTATTTTTGGGAACATGAACTTGGTAAAGCTAATAGGATTGAATTTTGTTAATACTCGGAACTGGTATAAGCAACTGCATATAAAGAACAACTTAAACTTGATATAATGTTTTCGTTGTTTATTTTTTCATTTTTTACTAACCAGTAATTAATTTTTTTAATATTAATAATAGTTCAAGTAATTAACACTAATAATTTGAAGTAATTGAATTAACATAAGTTTGAAGACAATTGCTTAAATTTTTTCATGGGATCGTTTTGGATGATGTTAAAGTTAACACTTATATAAAAATTGTATGAATCTTGTAATTATAAAATCTTTTATCTTCCAAGAAACGTGGTGTTAGAGTTAATTATTTGTTTTTTTTTTATTTTTATATGAAAAGTACTTTTTTTTTTAATTTTGATAAATGTCCATTATTATATTTTTTTAAGATTATCTCATTAACATAGTCTAGGAGGAATAAGTTTTCTGAAAATAGTTTCTCCATAAATACAAATAATAAAAAAGAATAATTTTATTAATTGAAAGAACTATTATGAATGAGTATAAGTATAATTTCTGACCTTTGAGGCAATGTTAACACATATTTGTCTGCATGTCAAAAATTTGTCATCTGTCTATTACAGGAAATAATTTACTGTAGTTATTTTAATTCTAAATAAATTGAATTCTAATTTTTATCAAATAGATATAAAGTCATTTTGAAAATAGCAGTGCAAAAAATTATGAAGAATATGTGTTAACTTTTTCATCCAATGCCCTTGAGAGCATTTACTTGGAATCATGAAAAACAAGGATAGATTTTCTATATGTTATTCACATTTTTAAAATTATATTTAAGTAAAAATTAATTATACTAATCATAATTATTAATAATTTACTGTCGATATACTGAAGAGAAGTCGGTTGGAGTGTGGAAATATTTTAACCTAATTTTAAACCAAATAAGTAATGCTGTTGAATAAAAATAAATTTCATGGAAGTAAGAAACAAAATATGAACTCCTTGATTTGTTATATATATTTATTATATATTTTCTATTCGATTGCTCCTCTTTGCCTATAGGCCAAAAATAAAAAATTGTTACTTTTATATTTCAGCGATACTTTTCTCCCTCTTCAATATTTAATATAAAACACAATATTTGTGACGTGTAGGCATAGTTGAAGAAGAAATAAAATAAAATGTCAAGCATGTAAACTAAATTATGTTTTTAAATAAATCATTGTTTTAAGGAAAGCTTATTTTAAAATTTAAATCATTAAGTTTGATGAAAACACATGTATATTCAAATCCTATAAGAATAAAAATTACCATTTTATCATACAAATATTCGTAATATTCAAATACTCCTGGTTTAAAGCTGTGTACTAGCTAAAAGATAAAATAAATAAATCTGGATTGTTGTCAGCTCTATTGATTTAAGGATCATAATTGGTGGTATTATATAAAATGTATTGGAAACATTTTAAAACACTGAGTGGAAATAGCAAACTTATGCATATTTATCCAATGATACCTAAATAAAAATATTTTTATGTAAAAAGGGAAGCTTTTTACAAAATTTTCCAGAATTCCACTTTCAAACTTCAATGCTAAAGAAGTATTTTTTAATTAAAAAGGAATCTTTTTCTTGGATCATCTATAAATAAATAATAAAATCAAATTTATAATATGTACCTCAGCACGTAGACTTGTGATCTATTAAAAAAAAAAAAAGTTATTTCAATTTCACTTGAAGCATTCTTCAATCTAAAAATGTCTCAAATTTTAAAATATGAGTACCTTGTGAAAATAAGTACAGATGAGCTATGTAATATAAACAGGTTATTTTTTAGTAATTGATTCTTCTATTAATTTATTTTATATGAAATTAGGGAATAAACAAAACTTGTTGACAGGAATGTGCCTAGTAGCAGAACATTATCAAGACGAAAGTCAAAGAAGTCGAATCATGGGCATTGTTCTCGGAGCAGTTGCACTAGGAGTATTACTCGGTTATCCTTATGGAGGATTCGCATATGATTTTCTTGGCAAAATGGCTCCTTTCTTAGGAATTAGCTTATTTGCCATTTTAAATATTGGTAAGAAAAATTATCATTAATATGTTTACTTAACCTTAACTTGTGTAAATAATGCTATTCTTTATAATAAAAATGTTCTATAATTGTGGGTCGATGGTTGACTGTAGTGAATAATTGAAGAGAAGAATGGTTGGGGTGATCAGTCAAAATAAAAATAAATAATTATACTTATTTTTATATTTCCTGACGTTTCGGCACGAAGTTCAGACCTTAATCAAATCCAAAGTCTTTCCAATCTTTTGGATTGAATAGGACTGAACTTCGGGCCGATATGTCAGCAAATTTAAAAATAAATATAATAATTTATTTTTACTATTTTTATTTTGACTGATCATTCGAACCATCCTTCTCTTCAAAAATGTTCTATCATTGAAAACTACTTACTTGAAACAGAAATATCTTAGTAAATCAATAAAGAAACTTAGTGAGCATAAGTATATTTTAAAAAATTATTAACTGCTAGGTGTTCTAAAAATAATTAGTGAAAAATATTTGTCTGTGTATGAATTATTCCTGCTGATGATTGTGAAAAAATAATTAGTGAAAAATATTTGTCTGTGTATGAATTATTCCTGCTGATGATTGTGAAAAATTAGGCTTCATTTTAACTTCCTTTTAGGTCTATTCCTTTCAGTGGATGGTGTTGAAATTTAGATGACAGTATAATTATTAGGAAGGGCAAGTAAAAATGAATGAATTAAAATAATTTTATTATTCTGGGATAAGTACTTTTTATTATACTGGGACTTTAGAACAAGTTACAAGTACAGAACATATATTAATATTCTGGTGTGTCCATAAAATATAATTAAATATTTACTGGATGATTAGAAATACAATAAAAATATAGAAAGATGTGTATAAATATAAAATAAACAGAGAAAGTAAATTAAGTAAACAAAATATCAATGAATCACAAAATAATCAAAGTATCTGGGTGTACTTTGAGATTCTTACAACTTAGGTTTTTAAGTGCATTTCGTGATCAATCGGGTTGGGAATGGAGTAGGTTTTTGAAGAGGAGAGATTTGAAAGAGGATACTGACTGCGTGTCGAATACCTGAGGGTATAGAGTTCCAGAGGGAGACAACTTGAATTAAAAAGGATTTGTCAAACGCAGCAGTTCAGTGAAGAGGAGGATAGAGGTCGGATGTATGGGATGGAAGTGAAAGGAGCATTTGAATTGTAGGATCTGTAGAATAAAGTTAAGGGTTACGGATTTCTAAAGCCCTAGTGTAGGAAGGTAGCATGGAAATACTGACAGCGATAGGACAGATAAAGCCATTTCAACTCTGCGTAAAACTGGGTAAAATGCGTATCCCTTGAGATCCCGAAGATAAAGCGGATTGAGCAATTCATTAGACGTTTAAGTTTAGCTTCGAGTTCTTCCGAGAGTTCACCATACACCATATAGCCATAGTCGAAGTGAGGGATAAGACAAGAGATGAGACCAGAAGTTGTCGGGTTTTGAACGGAAGAAGATAACGTAGATGGTTAAACTGTTTCAGGGTGGAAATAGTAGGGCGGGATATTTGGGAGATGTGTGGTTTCCAGGAGAGAGTAACAATAAGGTTTTTAACGGTGTTATGGAAGGAGATAGGTGAGTTTTTCAGAATATTGGGTGGTACTGAAATGGATTTGAGGAGTGAGAGGATCCGATCAGGATGGCTTTTGTCTTCTCCGTATTTAATGTGGGCTTATTAAGATTCGCTCATGAGCATAATCTGTTGATGTCTTGTTGCAGTTTCAGGATGGCATTAGAGGATAAAATAATCATTTTTTTTTTTTTATTATTTTTTTTTTTTGGTATATCTAAATCAATGTTTAATAGTTAATAAAATTCTAACATTGAAATAAATTTAAATATTAAAAAAACATGAACTTTTGTGTTTTCATGCATACATCTTCTGAACAAAATGCTGTAACTCAGTAAAAGCTTATTATTCCTAAAATTATATTAAAATTCACAATATAAATAAATATATCGATGAATTCCTTCTCAAGTTCAATCTATACCTCCTCAATATTTCTTATATTGAAATTTTTCAGTTCCAATACCTCATAAGTTAAACATAGTTACAAAATTGATATAAAATTGCACAAATAATGCAATGCTGAACTAAACAAATCAAAGTTAAATGGTGTAAATTTACTGTAAATGTAATTTTAAAAGTTGGTCGGAGGGGGGAGTAACACACACTAATAAATGAACTTTTTTTCACTTTTTGTCAAGATTTGAAGTGTTTATAAATGATATTCTTCCTTTGACATTTCAAGACAGCCACAATGAAGACCTGCAACTTGAGAGAAAATGGCTCACAATAAAAAATAAGTTTTGGTTATTAGTGTTTTTACTTTTTTTTATTGATTAGACTCCCCGACCAATTTCTTAAAAAATAAATTTTTAAACCTGCCATTTAAAAAAAAAAATTAAAATAATTTTGCTTTTAATCACTTTTAAAATTGTAATTAATATTTTTCAAGCACTCCAATTGGTCTTTCTTAATATGAAACCTCCAAATTATGAGGTAAGAATACAATTAAATCTACTGAATTTTAAATATTATTTGTTAAAATTTTGTAAATGTTTATTAGTTTACAGTCTCTTAGAGAGTGATGAGGTTAATAATTTTTAACTTTTCCTATGATTTTACTAGTTTTTTTCAATTAACCAATGTAAGCAGAGATATTAATTTTACAACTTTGTCATCTATTATAAACAAAAGAATTATGAACTAATTTTCAAGAAAAACAATTTTTTTTTCTTTTAATATGAGATGTTCTAAGGATTTTGATTAACTCTTATTTACTGATCTCTATTGACCCCAGTCTGTATGTTTATAATAAATTAAATAAATACTTTTATTTTTTACTTATTAATTTTATAATATTTTGTTATTTTCATACGGTATTTACAAGCAAGCAACAGTACTACAAAAAAATTTGATTTTTTCTCTTGGCTTATAATGAAGTAACTAGATTGCTTGACTTGCGGCCGAATGTTGTTTCACTCGATTGAATGGACAAGAGATCCTTGTCCTTTCTCTTTGTAGAATTCAGATTAAGCAGTTTACAGGGAAGTTGAAAAACATTGTACAAAATGTTTGGGAATAGATTTATCAGAAGTATACTCATGTCATGTGTTATGAATCAATGTTTCTTAACAACTTTTAACTCTGGCATAATTCCCCCACCCTCTCCACTGGTCCAGGAAAAACCATGTATATCCTAAAAGAATAGGAAGGGAGAAAAAAAAGAAGTTTATCAACAATTTTTCCTAGATGTTTTGACCAAAGAGTTTTTTAGTAAGTTCATATGCTTTACTGAACCCTTAAGTCCAAGTCCATACTGGCTTAACCTTAAGTGAATATGTTTACATAGGTGTATATGCAGAGGTGGACAAATGCTACTCTGAGTATTGAGTATCAAGTATTTTACTAAAATACTGACTTTTTTTGAGTACCAAATAATTTAATTACTACCTCAGTTGACACCAAATGATTAATTGAAGTAGTTACTGAATTCTCAATAGTGATTCAATTTGAATAAAATGCTTGGTACTCAGTACTCAGAATTGCATTTGCCCATCTCTGTGTACATGTAGTGTGAATAATTTTTTGTTGCATAAGTTGAGGGAAAATTCATAATCTAAAATATTTTGTAACACATTCAAGACAAAAGGACTACAGGTGAGTCCTTTCATTTTCCTCCAGGTTCCTTGGGTTTGCCTTTCTTGTTCTGCTGGGCCATCCATGGTGTGATTTATTTATAATTGGTAATTGGTTGACTGTCGTGGATAATGAAGAGAAGAATAGTTGGGGTGCTCAGTCAAAAAAGGAAGGCAAAAATAAATTATAATATTTATTTTTTACATCTGCCGACGTTTCGACCTGAAGTTCAGGCCATCATCAGGGCTAAGAAAATAACCAGATAACAAGGTATGAGAAACTTAAGTAATGATGGTAAAAAAGATAATAACAAAAAGAAAAAAAAATGAGAAAATATAATAGATTAGATCTAGATAAAAGAAAAATAAAATAGATAGATATAAAGTAAAATAAAATTGTTAGAATAATGACTAAGAACTAAGAGATAAATAATACAGACTGTTACATAGCGTGGAATGATGAAGTAGGCATATTTGGTGACTACCAGTGTGATTTATTTGTTTTTATTCCATTATTGAAAGATAACTTCAGTAGATTTTTACCTTCCAAATGATGTATTTCATTTCTAAATCTAACCTGTTATTTTCTTATTAATTGTTGAACTTCAACTTTAATTCTGCACTCAGCAAGGGGTATTCTCACAAAATCATGTCCATAACAGGAGTATTAAAGTTTTGTAGGAATGTTCCTGGTATGGTATTTCTTTTGGTAGGTGCTGTCTGTTGTTTATAATCATTATAAGGCATAATAATGCCACCAGATAAAATGTAATTTATTTATTTTAATTGACTGGTATTAAGGACTTCACTGGTCCTTAATACCAGCAGGAATACCGCTGAACAGAGGCGCTATAACCACAGAGGTATAAGGCTTAAGTGAAGAATCTGGCCATTGTCAAAACTTTTGATATATGCTTATTTACAACAGGTCTCTGGGCCATTGCCGCTTCAATCTTCGTGGAGGATTGTAGGGACAGATGGAGCTAGATAAAGATTGTACAAGAAGATTTGTATGATATGTAAGGTTCTGATGAAATTTGAAGATTTCTTTCTAGAATAAGATCTATTACAAATGAAATGGGATGTTGAAGTCATGGTGTAGAACTTTGTTGGTTATGTAGTATGTAGCATTAACTATTGAAGGATTTTAAACTGAAAGCATTGAATGCGTTTGTTGTCCGAACAGACAGCCTCCTAACATAGGCATACGTTTTTAGCACCTCATTGGGAGTGTGCTGTTTTATTTTGTCTTGAAAAAATCATCTTAATAATTTTTTTTAAGTATTTTGATTTTTTTTTCCAAAGAGCATTATTTTAAAAGGCCTTTGAGTTGGCTGACTACCAGGAAATTGAGTGTTGACGATGGATATTATAATGGGATATGACTAGAAGTCTTCGAACAATTTAAAAAATTTCGACTGTAACAGAGGGCAACGTCGTAACCCAACGACTATCTACTTTATGTTTAAATTTTGTTTTTTTTTGTTCACTTGTTTCAAGTGAAGTGTTATTAAAACTATGAAATGATTTGCAAGGTGGCCTGTCCATCTTCATAACAGGCACCAGCTTCACTGATCCTTGTTTTTGTTAAAAAAACAAGTTTTTGATTTGTTAAATGTTGTGTGCTAAAAATATATTTTTACGTCAATGGCCTAAATAGAGATGGAAGTAATTTGCTTGATTCAATAGAATTAGATATCTTTTGCAAGGATGAATAATACTTCAATTAAAATAATAAAACAAAATTGTATAACAATTTTATTAATCTTTATATTGGTAATGACATTTTAATAGGCCCAATCAACAAATGAAGGTTCTAGTTGGAAACAGCTGATGTCGGATCAACTTGTGATGATGACTGCTGGAGCTATTTGGCTGTCCTCTTCAGCGATGGCAATATTGGAACCATGCCTTCCTCTTTGGTTGATGTCCCATATAAAACCGCAGGTCTTATATCAAAATAGCCTTGTCTCTTCTTATATCAAAGTTTTTTTTATGATTCATAATAAATCAATGATATTGATAAATATTAGTATTATTATTTATTTTATTTTATTTTTATTATGAAATAATGATATTAAAATCAGTCATTTATATGACTTCTTCTTTCCACTTCCTATTCCACAGTTATAGATGTATCTTTGGTAATCTTTCTTGAAACATTCTTTTTGACATATCTAAACCAACATAATCTTTCTTTTCTTTTTCCAATAGTTGCAAGAATATTTCTTTTCAACTACATCAAATCCAGAATTCTTTCATCAATTATCAAAAAATTACTAAGTCTTTAGTGGGATTTTTGTCAAAATATTTTTGATGATGATGTCAACTATTGAGATTATGACTTGTTAACTTCTTTTTTTTCAACAGTTAAGTAAGAAGCCCTTCTGGATTTTATTTCTGCAGTTAAATTAGACATACGCCTCACAGATTTTCTGTTTACCATAAAAGACAATTTCAAAAACAACAATACTTTACATACCGATTTATGACAACCAATTATCCACCAACACATATGTACTCTTTACTTCCTATTTCATATAAAACTACACATACACAAAATGGTCATCATAAAGTGACTGAAAAGGAGCTGAATGAGAGATCTCCTTTGCTGATTTAAGTTAGTAAACAAAGACCAGTGAAGAGTTTTAATAAATTGTTCTTATTAAAAAAAATATTTCATTGAAAATTAGTAAGTAACTCTGAGTTTAAAAAATTATTAAAAATAAAAAAAATAGGTCTTTCACAATAATAATCGGCTCTTACGCAAGTTAACCATGAGATAAAATCAATTGATTATGTCCCTCGGGAGGACTCCAAGCGAAACTCCAAATAATCGCTCAATGGAATGAAACATGGAGAAGGAACCGCTCCAAACTTGCTCTGGTTAAACCCAACAGTGCTAAATGGCGTACGAGTAACAGGAGGTCTAGAAGAGAGGAAATTATTCTGCGCCGCCTCAGAATTGGTCACTGCGAATTTTCGCATGGCTACCTACTCCACGGTCGAGAAACACCTACTTGCGTCAGGTGTGGTTCTCTTAGAACTGTGAACCACATACTCGTGGATTGCACACATTATGCAGTTATTCGAAAGAATCTAAACATGCATGAGACTATCAGGGACGTGTTGCAGGATCCCGATAGAGAAGTGGAAATCTTACTGGACTTGAAAACTATTGGATTTTATTATAGAGTATGAAAAGAGTGAGTGAATTGACGATTGCCAATGACCCTAGCAGGTAGAGGCATACAAACAAATAAATAAATAAATTAGATATCAAATATAAAAATTAAATTAAATATTATTTAAAAATTACACCCTCCGAGTTGTCTGAAAAGAAGATGGCCTCGTGATCTACTTATGTAAATATATTATTAGAGTGCTACCAATCGGTAGTTTCTCAACAAGCGTTTTCATGTGATTGTATTATTACTGTGTGCACATTTACTAGTTGTATTTTTTTTTATAATACAGTTGTAAATATCAATGAATCAAAAAAAAAATTACAAATCAAATATAAATAATAATAATTAGATTTCAAAACTTCTTTCCTAAAAATTTAGAGTTTCTGTTATTTAGCTCATTTCTCCTTTGGAAAGATATTCCATGTTTTATTTTTAAAAATCTTTAGATCTCAATAATGCTAAAATAATATTAATTGATTTCTGTTACACAGAAGTGGGAACTTGGAACAGTTTTTATTCCAGATAGTGTCGGTTATCTTATCGGGACAAATTGCTTTGGAGGAATTGCATATAGATATGGAAGATGGAGAGTTGCAATAGCTGCACTTATACTACTAGCTATCTCAGCTTGCACAGTTAGTCTTTAACAAATAATTCACATTTTTCATATTGAATTATACAATTTTATTAAATATAATTTTTTGAATAATAGCTTCCAATGGCCAAATCAATGAAGGGACTAATAATTCCACATGCAGGGCTCGGACTTGGAATAGGAGTAGTAGATGCAGCACTAGTTCCTCTACTTGCAACGCTTGTCGATACCAAACATCGTGCTGATTATGCGACAGTCTATGCCATTCAACAAACTTCAGTCAGCCTTGCATATGCTTTTGGTATGTATTTATTTTTTATGCATTAGGATAAAAAGCTGATCAAAATTGTATTTATTACAAATTATATAATAAAATTATCTTATATATAAACCTGTTAAGGTCCAATGTTTGGAGGAGAGTTAGTGAGGGTCATGGGATTCCCATGGTTGATGGTATCGATTGGCATAGTAAATCTGCTTTATTCGCCACTCTTGGTATTCTTATCTAATACGGAGAAACAGGTATTAACTATCAAATAAGCTAACTATTAAATAAACTCACTATTAAATTAATAATTATCAATCCAAACAAGAAGAAAATGAAATAATTGTTTCTAATAAATATAATTTATTTAAACTTATGTTTAATAAGTGATTCAGTACAATAGTTTTGAAGGTTTTCATTCAAGTATTTTATTTTTTAAATTATATTTCACAAAATTAGAGTGATTTTATCTTGCATCTATTATATTCTTCATTAGTAGCAAATTAGGCATAGAAAATTATGAACTTATTTTAAGAGATTGGAATGAAACCACGGTTTGGAGTTATGAGTTTAATAGGTTTTGTTCAATGCCTAGGATCAGTTACTGCTCAATCAAATAGGAGGCGAGCTGTCCCACACGCCGTCAACTTTGTACAATGTAGTTATGTTACATATTGGTCGAAAAGAAAGTAGACTGCAACAGTGTTCCAGTCCTATCTTTGACAGGCAGACAAACACTTGTCATTTGTTACAAATTCTCCACGTATTGGAATCTCTGATGAGGTGAAAAAAAAAATAGATTTTGCAGGAGTATATTTTTATATTATGCTCTTCAAATTGACTACAAAGATGAAGAAACCAGAAGCTTTGCCTCAACTTGCCTGCATTTTTTCTGACTACGCTAGTCTATGGTCGATTGCAGTCAATCTATCAGCACAGACAGTCCACCTCCTGTACGACCAAGCCTTTAATATTTATTTAGTGAATGTTTTACAAAATGAATCCTGACAATTTCATTCTTTGATTCGAAAATTATCAGCATCACCCTTTAATAAACAATCTGTTGTTGGCAAAACGACCCAATATATCCACTTTCCAGGTTCATTCAATTCCCCACCAACATCTATAACTTCCTTAGAAGACAATAATTTAATTAGTCCTAATGAAGACCATCCTTTATTGTGCTTAAAGTCAGATACCTATTTAAGTGTGTTAGTCCATTTAATCAACCTGAATTTTGTCTATGAAATTACTTACACAATCTGACATTACTTTAATCTAAAGAAAGTTTCAAACAGTAAACTTTTTTACTCTCCTACATATACTAGGCAAGGAAAGTATTGCGATCGGGTCAACTTTCCGATATGCGATTTTTGATGGATCTATACATTTCAGAGCCACTGATTTCGAAAAACACATTTTTAGCCATTGGTCTGTCAACCTGTGCTAAGATTTTCTCGGGAGCTGCTGAACCGATTTTGTTGATTCTTTTTTTGTTTTGTAGGGTTTTGACTACTGATGTCTGTGACATAAATTTGATACTCTATGCGCAATAAATAAAAAACATGTTTTTCTATAGACTGTAGCCAAAAAACGGCTCCAATAATTTTGATGAAACTTTCCTATAATGTTCTAATAATTGTCCTTTCAATTTTCGTATATGGACTAAATTTCCGAGAAAATTCAGGAAAAAAAGTTATAAAGAAAAGAAAAATATTTTGGGGCCTAACTCTCTAAGTATATATTCTATGGTAAAATTTATAATTAAACTTTTGAAAGGTAATTAAATCAACAACAAAAGAAAAAAAAATCATCGGAATCGAACCAGTATTAGCGATGAGCATATTCTATTTTCTATTTTAATTTATTACTTTCCTACCTATACTAGGTTCACAATTTAGCCTGTTTTTTTTTTTTGTTTTTTAAGTAATGAAATTCCCTATAAAACTATAAAAATCATTCATTTCAGACAACTATTAACAAAGTTATAGCTATTCAATTTGCAATGCAAGATAACGGGTTCATATCTTTTTGTCAGAAAGGGGTGAATGATAGAAAAAAGATAACTAAGTGAAAGTAAGAAAATCTATTGCCCCATCACACAAGCTTCACTATTTCCTCTACTTTCAACAGAAAAAGCAAAATTAGAGGGTATTGAAATGTTTACACTGATCTACCTTAAGCTGTTTTCCAGTGCATTAGTTTATCAAATAAATCATACTCAAATCTTTTCTTTGATCAATTTTCAGGAAAATAAATCTAATTTGTTTTTGTTTCTTGATGGACATATGTAATGATATAAAAACTTTTCTGGAATAGGTAGGAAAGTTGTGTGAGTGGACACACCAGATTTTTTTTTTTTTTTAACAGAGTAATGAGCTTGCATAATACCAATAGTTTGGCAGTTATAATAGATTTACTGGAAAACAAAAATTAGGATTAATATCGCTACAGTCAGTGTAAAAAGTTGTATTTAACAATTGTACATGATAAGCGAAATCGTTATCATGTAATAATAACAAGTTCATTTTCTTTGCGCTAAAGGTGCCATTTTTTAGTCTAAAAATACGATAAGCTGTCTGCAACGATGGTCTTAAATAAAATAACTCAATTTTTACAAACAACCTTTTGCACTAATACTAGCTATATATTTTCAAATATGATAAGACAATTAATCCTTTTGTTTTCTAAACGACAAGCCTTTTCATTGTGTGTAATCAAGATTTTATAATGGTCTTTAAATAATATTTTTCTTTTAGGAAGTCCAGACAGTCATGGGTGCACATAAAGTCAGCTATAAAGCTACAGAAAGCAGGAAATACAACAGATTTGTAGCATCTGATGAGAGTGATTAAAAATCCAACACAAAAGCATAATTAAACTGTTATTCATAGTAAACATTCAAAACCAGTCATCCTTATAAAGAAAAAAAAAAAAAAAAACCTGAACTGAAAATAAATCAAATACCTAGTGAAAGAAGAGGAATTTCAAAATTAATTAAAATTAAATTTTTCTAAGGTAATTAACTTATTAAGAAGGAAAGATTTTCACTGTTATTGAAATGGTGTAATAACTGACAATCAGCATTTCTTTAGGTCGCAGAAAAAATATGCTGTCTTCATTTCACTGTATTATAAAAAAAATGAAGTTTTACAGTTGGTTTTTAATACTGCAATCATGTAAGAAATGAATATCCATTACATTAATTAAATTATAACATTTAGGACCTGAAAAAAAATATCCAATATAACTTTTTTTTTTAATAAAGTTATCCCAGTTCTCTTACCATATGCTCTATTAGCGTAGGTTGATGATAATCATACATGTAAGTCAGTGTTGTCTACTTACACTTTTTTTTTTCTAAGTCTAAAACCATTTACATATTTACATCATATGTGTTTAACAGGGGTCGAAAATATGAGTTGACTTTTATTTTTTAAAAGTTTAAATTAATCTTATACTTTTTTTTGTACTTTCACTTAACTATATATGAAATATATAGTAATGGAAAGTATTGCGATTGTGAAAATTCTCGAATCTCAGTTTTCAACGGAAATGTAGTTTTTATTCTGATTGATGTTCTTTAACAGGTCTTAAATGACTAATTTTCAATATTAGCTTCCTCTAAAGTATCTTAAATTTTTTTTATTTGAAACAATTGACCATTTCACATTAATTTCTAATATAAAAGATAGTTAAATATAAAATATGAAAGAATTTGATAATTAACTAAAGAAGAAATAAGAGATTGTAACGGAGAATAGTTGTAATCAAGGAACTAAAGGAATAAGAGCGCAACCGAAAGATTAGAACACGTTTCCATACGTTATATGAGCTGAATATAATATGAACTCTGACATTATTATATTAATATATATATGCGGTTTTCATAAATGCGATTGTTGGTATTATTTAATATTTAATTGTATAGATTACAGCGATATAAATATTAAAATTTGTATATATTAGGGTACTTATACAAATAAAAATACCCACAATGAAATATAAATAAATAAAGTTTATAATTTTTACTTTCACTTCCCCTTTTTCTGAAAATAGTTATTTCTGCTAAGAGAGTAGTAGGTGAAAATTGTGTGATGTGCGCAACACTCCAGATTTTTTATCTTACATGAAGTTTTTATTGGACATGAACTTTTTCAGCATGATAACTTTTTGATGAAGTTATTTAAAAACTTTTATGAAAATAAATTTTTTAATAAAAGTTCACTACAAACAGTTATTCTGAAACTTATTTATGAAAGGTTTTTAGACAAAAAAAGTAATTTCAGAAATGCCAGAACTGAAAATTCATTGTTGTATTTTACAATTTTTAATATTTTGTAAATCATGATTGGCTGATACAACATATTTGAAAAAACTCTGAACGAATCTGTCTTTTCATAATTCAAACTGAACTGTTTACTCACAAGAAATAGCTAAAACTAAAATAAAGTGTTCTGAAAAGAGGCAATAATGACTGGACTTGTTTTGATTTGAAAGAATGAAATGATAGGATAACTACAATATCCCTTTGAATAATCCTATCATCAAAATAAACACCAGTATCATTCACTCGCTCATTTCCTATTATAACAACTTTTATAAACCAAACCAAGAGCAAACAAATTGTTAAACTCACACTTAAATTTCAGTTCTTCAAAAAGTTTGAGTGAACCTTTAACTTTTTGAAGAAACATTTTTATCATAAAGGCATGAGAATGACTTTTATTGCGCAAACTTTTTCTTATAAGTTTGCTAAATACTTTTAAAATAAAACTTACTTAAAAAAGTTTATCTCTCTTTCGACCCCTGATATTAAAATATGTTTTATGAATTAATACCAATTCCACAATTCTGTTTAGTGATAATTAAAAAAAAAATTGGTTGTACTTTGTAACAAATATAATAAAACTATCAAAGATTATTTTGATTGAATAATCATTATATTTTATTCCCTAAATTAATTAAGAGTACTTAATTGATATTAGGTATGACTGAAGCAAAATGACCATAGGATATAACATCAAACCTCGATGTAACAAACTTTGAAGCTTGAAAAGTACACTTTTGTAAGAAAAAAAATATATAATTTTTTAAGACCAGCTTATCTATGTTTTTAGAAACAATTATATTAGATTTTCATGGATGGGAGAATTGATATTAGGTTAAGAATTTTAACATCAATAACATGTTAGTACAATATTTATGTTATTAATCGTTGATTTATTACATTAAAAATTCAATCACACATATTTCACAAAGACATGTACCAAGTTTGACGAAGTAGCTTCTTATGCAACAGTGTAGTCTTGGTAACCAGAACTAAATATTGCAAGAGCCAGTTCAGTTTATCAATACTTTGTTATAGCGGGAATTTGAAATACATAAATATAACATGTTGTTGATTGAATATTACTCAGAAAACATAGATTTAGAGAAAATAAAAATATGTTATGATGTGCATAATTACATAAAAAAAAAAAAAATGTTTATTAATTTAAAATAACCATTTTTACACTTTTGATTTAAGAAACAAAAATTACATTCAATGAATGACTGAATTTTTCATCCACTTTGGTAATCTGATCATTGTTTTAAAAAATGGTTTAGATTACTATGACTGCAGTGTACATACATTTTATTTTATAAACAGAAAAGTTTTCCAAATAAAATAAAATTTTAAGCTAAAGAAAAGTATATGTATATCCTTAAGAAAGTTTTTTAAGGATAGGTTTTGAAATAGGAAATGGGTAATCAAAAACATAAAATGAACGTACAATTATTATGGATCATGTATTGCAATATATTCAATGAAGAAAAAGCGTTTCGACAAATTTGTTTTTAAATTAGGTACTGTACATATGTAACTTGTAGTATATACATAAGCTTGTGCTATATACTACTTAATAATTACACTTATAGGGGATTTCACTCTTTATTGACATATTCTTATCTTTCATATAAGCTATAATAGATTATTAAAAAAAAAAAAATAAGTTGTATATAATAGATCACAAAATATTAAATATTTTAATTCCAGAACATTAAATTAATTAGACAATAATTCTAATACCCTGAGTAGAAAAAAATAATAAAAAAATAAAATGATTTTTTCACAGTAATATTAATATCAATATTGAAAAAGTTCTAATTTTTGTCCTTTACATAAAATATACAGATACAGAAATAAATTAAATACTGACCGTTTAGGCTTTGAAAATAATTTTCATAAGATTGAAAAAAAGTATTATATATATATATATATATATATATATATATATATATATATATATATATGAAGAAAGCAATGTACCAAGGATATAAGACACCTTCAATAAAATCAGACTATTTAAAAAATATTAATGATTTGAGCATTTTTTTTTTAATACTAATTAATACTACTAAAACTAATAAACCATTTGTTTAATTTCAATAGACATTTTTAGTTTGTACGGTTTAGTTTGAAAAATAATGACAATATCACTAAACTATAACCACCAACATTCAGCATTATTTTAAAAATACCAGTATTAATTTAAATAAATGACAATATATCTGTTGTTATACATCCCTTAGTTGGACAAGGCTCACCAAACATAGTTGGTACACCTAATAAGCAGTTAGTGTAAATTGATTGACCAAACACGCCACGTTTTTGAACAACCATGGCGTTGGTTCCTTTAGTTTTTAACATTGAACATCTTTACTAAGTGGAGTCGACACTGCCAGAACTAAGCTAAAACCGTGAACCGTAAATCAATAATCGTAAACAACAAAAGAAAATAGAGTGATCTGAATAATTTGGATTACAAGTAAATTTATACAATGCAAATAATAATATGCACTCGACTAATAAACTTAAAGTTATGAATAATTTAAAGTTATGTAAATATTTTACTTTAATTTTTAGCTCAATAAAACCTAATAAAACTAAACAGAAATCATAAACAAAGTTTTTTATGTGACACAGAGTGAAAGTGTAAATACATGGTGTTCGCTAATTTGCAAAATTTGAAGATCTTTGAATTATTAAAATGATGAACTGAACACCATGTGGACCCTTTAAAAGATAACTTACAATTTTTTATCAATGTTATTCATTCTATATCATCGCAAGACCCCATCCAAACAAAAATTATACAAGACCAGTAAAGAGATTCAATACATAAAGTAAACTTGTTTTAAAAACATAATTTCTTATTTAATAAGAATATTCATCATCCATTAATTATTATTAGATAAATTATTTAAGCGGAAAAACAGCATATTCGATTTTTCAAAATTAAGAAATCTTTAAATAACTACAAAATCCATTCACGGCATCAGTGGTGATTTGTTTTATTTAATTATAATATTGAATCTCTTATAATTTAAAAAAAAAAATAGTATTAAAGAAAATATAGAAAAATCGTCAGATTTTCCAAAAATAAAATTATAGTCACGAATATTATTAAAACCACGTTGATAGTCCTGGACCCCTGCAGATTTTATATCAGGGAAACATTGATACCTCAGATATAAAATTTATCAAAATAGATTGTCATAACTTGCTAAAACCTTGGATTTGGTTAAATTAAAAAAAAAATTATTTTGTAGTTATCAATTTATCGAGCTGGAAACATTCTAAACACTGATACTTGAACTAAACTCGAATTAAAGCTGTCTATAATTGATAGAATTTAAAAATTTTGAGAAAGAGTATGTTCCTTTCGCTTTAATTTTACAGCTAAAGGGGTCCATGGAATGAAAAGATAAGAATCCCTCATTAAAGTAAATATTTCAACAAAAATTGATTATTATAGATTAAAAACGAACTTGATATCAGTTTGAACAATTCAATTCAATCAGAAAAAATAATTTATATATTTTCCCCTATTACTCATTTGAGGAAAGACTACACGCAGCGGCCCTCAAAGAAAATAAAAAAATGCAAAGCATCACAAAAGTCTAGAATAGTAACATATAAATGAAAACTTGTGAAATTTGATAAAAATCTACGGTCTAAAGGTAGTATAAATATATATATACACAATAACACTGATATTTCTCCATAACAAGAGATGCAAATTTATACAAATTTTCCTCTTGTAATATATCATAAAAAAAGGAACCTCTTCTGTGCTTTTATCTCTTAAAGACTCATATAAACAATATCATAGCTAGGTAATTAACAGTTCATAGGTTGCACAACATAAAAATAACACAGGAACAACCATTGTTCATTTGTTTTTCTTAATAATACTTAGCAAGCAAATCAAAGTCCAATGCAAATGCTTATTTAATAGAACTATATAGATTGAATGACTTATACTAAAAATTATAAATATAACTTTAATTTTCATCTAACAAAATAAATGCACCATTTTTAGGTTACCGCTCATTCATAGTTCAAATATTTCTGAATCTTATCTTTGTTACCAAAGGAGGTTCTTTCTCAATCACGCAAAAAAAGATCATTTCACATATGATCAATTTTTGGAAAAACCTTTTCTAACATCAAGATGAATTAATTTAAGTTGTATAGATCATCGATGAGTTACAAACGGGCTAAAATAGTATGCAAATGATTTTAGAATCGGACACCACTTCCAATAACAATGATTTCTTTAAACAACACATTAATATTTCCTATATTATTAAAAGTTTCATTTTTAAGTCAGTCGACAATAACTACAAGGTTACAAAAAATAAAAATAATTTTAACTGAAACCAAAAAAGATAAACACTAATCCTAAAAGAAATTTTTTTTTTCAGTAATGGAGTATTCTATAATAAAATAGTAAAAATTTATTCGATATGTTGTGAAATAATTGCTTCATTATAAATATACCTTAACAAAATCTGACCATAAAATACTTTTTTTTACTAATATTTTTTCCTCACTTTTTAAAAACATTGCGAGTGAATAATAATCATTTATGCGTTGTTTAACCAGGAACACTTTAAAACAGATCAAATATTGAGACAAATCAAACTACTTCTCACTTTGAGCATATAATTAATACAATACATCAAAAACATTCTGAAAATATGTGATAACAAAAATAACAGGTTACAGATATAACATGGAGTTTATTGGAGAACAGTTATATTTTGTACCCGAATTCAGTAGATAACCTTTATTTTATAGGTGACAGCCCAAAACGTAAGTTGTAGATAAATATATTCATTCTCAATGTAAAGGCATGAATGAAAAATCCTACCAATTCACAAAGCCAAAGCAGAAAAGATTAATAATTAATTGTCATAAATTTAACCAATAATAAAACAAACCAATATCAACTTTTCTTTAGGTATTCGCACATTGAGACCGACAATATATGGTATAATTTACAACTAATTATACTAAGGAGTTTTAAATGTTTTAGATGAGTAAAAATTAGGAATTAAACTGCAGTCTCGATTAAAATACTTTTCAATTCTTGTGTCTATTTCTTAAAATCTTTTTAAGAAAAAAAAAAATATACTGATTTTCTAATAAAAAAATTATGTGAAATTGAATGTATGGTAAAAATACCAAAACGGTTTGAGTTGTCACTTATAAAAAGGTGTAACAAAAAAAAAATTGTTTAATATAAATTTTAAAAGTTATAACAAAACAAACTAGAAAAAAAAACTAACATACAATGAGATTCTCTTTAATAATATGTATTATCTGAAATAAAAGTATTATCATTAAAAACACAACAAGCAAATTTGATAGTGATAAAAAAAAATTATCATTTCTAAAGGCAAAGTAGGCCTTGAAAGCTATCCCTTAAGTTTTCTAAGAAAACATTTTATATTTTATTATAGAATTTTGTGCACTATATTAGTTCACTTATGATTTCTTCCTCGTTGTTTTTTTTTAATAATTTTTTTAACTTTTTCGATTTTTTTTTGTAGTCTTTTTTTTTCTTTCTCACTTGATTTGGAGATAAGAAATGAATAAATAATTACTATTACAAATTTCAATTTAAATATTAAAGAAAATTATAAGTGAAACAGTCGCATCATAGGTAATAACTTTTCAATAGCCATTTTTGAAATTAGGTATAATAAGTGTTACAAATAAAATTAACAGACTGGAGAGAAGATAATTCTGAAATTGATCATAAACGTTATGAGGCATTGTTTCAGATCCATCGTAAGACAGCATAGTTTAAATATGAAACTAAACCAATTAAAAATAGTCTCTGAAATATTTTAAAAGAAATAATTAAGCCTCAAATAACTACTAATTTCATTTAACTCTTCTTTCATTTGAATGTGAAGACAAATGCAATTCAAATCACCATTTCTGAAAATTTTATAAGTAAACTAAATTTCCGAGTAGGTTTGTTAGTTTTAAAAAAAGGCGACAAGAGTATCTATACTAATAGGTAAATCCTAGCCATTCTATCCCAATAACTGGAAAAACTTCTATCCGACATTTTTAGAAATGAGATAGGTAGTTCATTCAGATCTAAACCGTTACTTAACATTTATTGCTGAATAACCAAGACAAATAAACAGACACTAAACTTAAATAGTACCTCTTCCGGAACTAAGACTTATTTTGAAAAAATAATATGAAAATACACTTCCATACACTTAGAAATTTCAAGTAAGTTGCAATAAATGCAGGAATAGATCAGAAAATAAAATAAATAATAAAAGGCGGCCACATTTTTTCCTTATAGATTGAAAAAGGAAATTGAAAATATTACTTTAAATGGTTTTTTAAAAGCATTAGGAAAAAAAAAATGTTGATAGGAAAGAGTATGACCACATGAAAACTTAGTTCGAAATACTCTTTCAGCCTACTGGTTGATTTTACTAATTATTTTTATTTTCTTTATCTTCATAGTAAAAATTAAATAATTATTATACTTATTACTTATTTCAAGAATAGCCTCTTCTTTTTTACAATTTTAACAAAAAACCTGAGTTGAAGAATAAAGCACAGAAACATATCGAAGACAATAAATTAAACATTGCCTCTTTACTAATTCTATAAATCATATTGTTATAAGAAAAACTATATAAAAAATTTAAATATACATATTCCGGTTGAAAGACTGTAACATATTCAATTTCATAAAATTTTAAATGCAATAACTTAATATAATTTTTCCAGAAAAAATAAAATAAGAAAACTATCTTATTCTAGCTAAAGATAAAATAACAAATTTAATCTTAAAAGAAAAAAAAAAAACTAAAATAAATAAATAAATTATCATAAATGAGCTATGAATAGAGCTCAAGTACTAAACTATAGAACCACCTTAAAAACTAATAAAATGTCTTACGACTGAATCTTAACAATGTCATGGATCAATGAGGTAATAAATAATATGAGAAACTACAGAACACCTATGTACAAAATAACAAAACTAATATACATAAAATAAATATTTATGTATGTACATACAAATACATTAATTATGCAGATTGAAAAAAGATCACAATAACCTCGCAAAGCTCAACTCAAAAGTCATCAAAGCTTTGTATCTCCTATGTAACATCAATTCTATTTTCAAAACGCAACCTGAAAAGTAAAACATGCCTATTCAATTATCCAGTATAAAAGTTTTTTTTTTTAGTTTTTCGAGTGAAATTATTACATAATTGGTAACTAAGACAGTTTATACACAATAGAAATAAACTACCTATATACATCAGTTGAGTTAACTAAAATCTAAAATACATCGTCATTTGACTGATTTCTTATTATATACACATACCCGTTTAAAAATGTGATGCTTCATTAATATCCTTTCAATTACATTTTTAAAGTATAATTATTAATTATTTAATAAATATATTGACACGTATGTATACATAAGTATGTATCAAGTGAATAATATTAAAAGATAATGTTACAAAAGTAACATATATATATACCAATATTACCGTATTTAATTTTGGCACGATTAACTCTTGGCACATTTTTCCGAGTCGAACATATAGTTTCATCGTCGAAAGTTTAAAAAGGGATCTGAGAGATGTTAAAAAGAGTTATATAAATAAATAAAGAGTTCATATCTTGCTGGTGGAATTCGATCAGCTGATTTCGTTCTTCGGAGTCAAATAGAGTTCGTCTATTGGAACAGGCATGCTTCGGGCTGACTGTTTCTTCTGAAAATTGTTAGTTAAAAAAAAAACAAATTACACTTCAAATTCAGGATTGGAATAATGATGAAAATGATTAGATATAAAACTAATAATCCAAATATAAGAAGTATAACAGCCTTCTGATGATTCATTTTTTTTTTTTTAATCAATCAAAAATAATAAATAAAAAATCCTGATTAAAAATCACAAACTAAAAAAAAATGTTTCCTTTAACTAAACATAATTAAAACCAATCAATCTAAAATACCAATGATGAAATAAAAAAATTAATTCTTATACAATGGCAACCCAACATGAGTACTTTCTGAAATTTTCTTTTTCTAATGAAAAATATATAACTAATTTTTCAACCATTGACTCAATGCTGTATAGTTTGATAAATTCTGCACATTTTTAATATTTTACATTAAAAAAATATTATATATTAGCACAATATTAGCAAAAAAACAACATGCAGAGAATATATTAATTTTTATAAGCTGCTCCACCCGGCATTGATTAATCCCTAATATATTTTTAGCTAACCAGTGTAAACTACATGTAACAAGTTGGTATAGTCAGTAATATACATATATAAACAACCCTGCTATAACAAGAAGAGGTTTTTGGAACTTTCTAATTCTATATACCTTGGAAGTCTATAATTTGAGCAAAGAAATGATCATTTTATTCTTGTACTGTGATAAAAAACCTTTGAACCTACAGTACAAAACACTAAAAACCTATATTCCACATTAGAACAATAAATATGTCCATGTTTGTTACATTTTTTCCAGCAGAAACTTTTAAGAGAATTTATTTTTTTTCAATTTCATTATAATGAACGTATTTTGTATTAATTTGTAATGGCTATAAGATAACTTAATTATCCTTTTAGAGAATTTCACAAATATCGTTCCTTAAATTTCCTTGTTTGTAAGCAAAAAATTTCCCTTCGATGGACAAAACACAAATAGTACCAAAAAATGAAACTGAGTTCCTGACACAATTTGCTACAGAGATGTTCACCTGTTTAAGCACAAACAAGGTTCTAAATACAATAAATAATACAAAATCAACTCCTTTATTGCTGGTTACAAAATATGAACTATAAATTGAGTACATAAAAAATTCTAGATAGATTTTTGGCTACATTGAAATGACAATGATAGATGATTGAGACTATTTTGATATTTTTGAAGACAATTATGTAAACAACACGTATAATTAATTAATCAAAATGAAAATAATTTAATCAATATCACAGGAACCAATGGATCATACGATTAAAAATCTTTAAAAGCACAACTTGTGAAAATTCTATTTAAAAATACAACTGAACCATAAATATAAAGAAAATACATCAGATTATCGGTTAAATATCTTTCTCTTTATTAATAAAAAATATAAAAGTACAAACAATAAGATAATAATAATTTAAAATATTTTATAAAAAAGCCCAACAAGTTATTAAAAAATGAAACCTAGATATCTGGCCTATTGATTTTTTGATAAAGAGGAATAAATAATATCAAAATTACACAAGTGAATAATTTGAGATCTGGTTGGATCGCTTCAAAACATATATAACGTTATGATATATTAGTTTGGATAACATATTCAGACATCTACGTTGGTAATCAAGATTTGGCGACAACATGGCATCCGTGTTCCAGACTGCCCAGTTCTGCTTCAAACAAGACATCATTTATCAACTTTTCAGCAAATATTGACTGAAGCCTATCTAATTTTTCCAATTTCATTGCCCATATTCTTGCTAAAATATCGTAATTATTTTCTAGTGGAGGAAGTTGACACGTTTTGACGAGTCCCAAAACATTGCTGGATTCCTTCTGATATTTCGTCTCTAATACAGGGAAGGGTGTAGGCGAGGAAGAGAAAAATTCAGAAGAATCTCTGGAAGAAGGACAGGATTCGGAAATAACTTCGAAAGAAGTCTGATATTTAATGGGTATAATTGCAGAATTGTCCTTTTCTGAGCTTGTACAATATTTATCTTCTTTTTCTTTCTAAAATTAAATGCATCAAATAAATAAATAAGAAATTTTAAAATGTTTGTTTCGAAAAATAAAATAATAGAAAATAAAACTATCCCCATTAAGTGAATAAATCTAAAATATATACATGTATAAAAATTGAGTGGCTGAGAAGTGACAATTAATACATTTTGTGAAAACACAGTATAAAGTTAACAGCAATTAGATAAATTCACTGACATGTTAAAGTTTCTATCATACTTAAATTTTGATTCTATTATATACGTCTAGCAATATGCTGTAGAAAAAAAAATTAAACACCTCAAAACTAATAATAAATTATTGAAGGGTGAACAAGAATTATATTAAAATAAATTTACAATATTTAGAGGTGGAATCTTCTTTAACTGTTGGTCTGAGAATAATTTGAAAATCCAACGACACATTAGTAATTACTTTACCTCATCTGTCTTTTCTGGGAGAAATATCTATGGTGAATATTTAAACATTTTTAATAATGTTACTAATTCATTTCTTTGAGAGAGAAAAAACCGCTTACAAACTCAAGAGTGCCTATTTCTTCCATTTATATTCAGCATATTTCCATCCAAGTTGTGTATAATATACATATTAGAAATAACGTTGATCATTATTAATAAAGTAATGGGTGCTATTGCAATAGGTTTGATTGGTTTTACCAAACTAATAACTAGTCCAATCAAAGTAAAAAAGTGTAAATTAAAGGTAAATTCCTATAACTTAAGATAGACCAATTTTTATAACTTACAGGAATTTACCTTTAATCAAAAAGCTATTTTGATTAGCCTTTTTACTATTTGCAATATATTTCAATTATCAAATATTTGCAATATATGTCAATGATGGAATCTACCTTTCCTTCCATCCCACCGAGATGCGAAGGCGATCCAAAAGCTTCAAGAAGACATTGATAATATCAACACTTGGGCAGTGAGCAACAATTTAAATTTGAATGTTGAGAAGACATATATTCTCATTGGTTCCAAGCACCAAATTCGCCCTTTTTAAGATCGCACTTTGAGATGAAAATGGTTAATAATTAAAAAATATAGCCATTAATTCTTTTTAGGAGAAGTATCAACAACCAATGGACTGGTTTTAATCTCTGGTTCTGGAATGTCCAGACCCTACAGAGACCCTGAGCATTGAGAACGTTTTTAGAACAGATTGACATTTGCAAAACCGACATTGCCGTCCAGGAAATCCGCTGGATAGAACACTACATTATGGAGAAAAGACAGCACACTAAACATTATAGCTGCCACGAACGTCACCATCCAGTTTAGGAACTGGATTTATCGTTTCGAGGTTTCGTGAGTAAGTAATTCTTTTTAATTAAAAAATCTTCGGTACTTAGATTTTTCCTAATATGTACATTTATGTTTATTATATTCTTATTACTTTATCTAATATGTTATTTTATTAACTATGGGACTAGACTTCCTTTAAATTTTTTTAATTTATATTATTTCATTAATATTTTTTGGGAGTGTTTCCCATTATCAAAATACCTTAAAATCATTTTATATTATGTTCAATCCTTATTTACATTTCGTAGTTATATACTCGTTTTTTTCAAACATTTCAAGTCAAAGATATTATTAATACACAATATTAAGGAGTGTCTTGTTTTCATGCTTCAGGTTTGTAACTTTTGCTCTTAAAAGAAATTTAAGGAAGTCTAGTTGGTTGCTAAAGGTAATCAAATGTAAATATAAAAGGAAATACCCGAAAATTCAAAAGATACACTATTATATTATGTTTATTTACACTTATCTAATTTATATTTTCAGTTAATTGCTGTTAGTTCATATCTCTTTGTAAATTTGATAAATGTCCGCACAATGAATTACTTATTGTTTTCTTATTATGTCATCTAGTTCCCACAATACTTTAATTTATTTTGCCACTTACTTAAAGCTAATGAAAAATACATTGTCTGTGGAAAGTATTATTAAGTATAGTTCCAATTATCAGAATGCATCTATCTGAGAGCGAAATGATGCCAGTTTATAATAAATAAAAAAAATATAACTGAAAATAAAAATAATCCTGAAGATAGGTTAAGAGGACGAAATATATACCCACAATTCTCAATTAAACTGAACTCCAACCCCACCGATTCAATTACAACACTTAAAAAATAAAATGTTTTGAACAAATCATTAAAGTGTTTTAAGGATCACCATAAAATTAAACTTGTTAGTTGATTAACTTTGTTGGATTAACAGTAAGTTACCAATATAGAATCAATTAGAGAAAGCTATAACAATTAATTGTGTCACACAACAAGACATCTATTAAATTCAAACTGATATAGAGTAATATAAAGTGGAATGGCAACAAAGAAATGGGAACAAATAATCAGCCTGATAATTTAAAAAAGAAACAATTTTAGTCAACAGATTTTTAAAAATAACTGTTTCATTCATAAGAGAGACCCAGGTTCTTGCAAGATCGTAGCACCAAGAATACATAAATAAACTAACCATTAAAACCAAAGACATTACATTAATACTTGTTAGTATTAATGTATTTTAATAAACAGAAAACTTTTATATAATCTAATTATCTTTGAAAATAATTAAAATAAAGTTTTACCTTTCTTCTAAATGGGAAGCAACCTTTCTTTTCCGGCTGTGGTACTGCTTGTAATATGAGGTCAGGAGATGGAGTACCGCAGGGGCCAAAAACATTCAATTCCTTGTAGCATTCAGTTTCGATCATCTTTTAAAATTTTAAATATTAGTCTTAGGCAAGTGTAACAAACTATATATTTAAAAACAAAACATTCTTAAAGTTCAAAATCATTGTGTATATCTGGCAAAATTACTTTTAAAAAATAACCTTTATTTTATCTAAATCAACTAACAGCTATTATACAGAAGACGGACAATTGATAATTTCATTTCATTCCATAAAATCAGAAGTTAAAAACCATGAATACAATTATTTCTTTATACATAATCTGAGAGCTACTTTTTTAACTTTCACTTACCTATATAAGAAATATATAGTAAGGGGCAGTACAGTATTGCGATCGTGAAAAGTTTTGGATCTCCTTAGTCCAAATAACCAAGTCTACGACGAATCTAGCTCAAAAATGAAAACTTGTGTGAAATTGCGTATTGGAGGTTTATTATAAGCTTTGCATGTTACAGCAACCTTCGTGTCAAAATCAGCAAACTGGAAATGGTACTTAATACAATTGATTTAAAATATGTTTATGATTTTCTCAAAAACGGCTCCAACAATTTTGATTAAACTCACTATATCAGAGTATTATTAAGAAGTTTTTAACATAACGTAGATTTTATTTTCATTGATGTTCTCTAACTGGGCTTAAATGGCTAATTTTCAATATTAGCTCTACTTTAATTGTTTTTATTTAAAATAATTATCTATTTTACATTAATCTTTGATATGAAAAATAGTTACAATATAAAATATGAAAGAATTTGATAATTAACTAAAAGAGTAATAAGAGATCGTAACGGATAACAGTTGTAATGCAGGAACCAAAGGAGTACGAGCACGCCCGAGCTCGTTCCTAAGATTACAACAGGTTTCCGAATACATGATCTAAATATAATACGGACTATAATTTTTACTTTCACTTCCCCTTTGTCTGAAAATACTTGATTCTGTTAAGAGGGTGGTAAGTTGTGTGATGCGCACCACATTATTTTGAAATCTATATTTAAATTATACAGAGTCAAATGAAAGTAATAATTTGAAAAAAAAATTAACTAAAGGTAATTTACTAATATTAAAAAATTGAAGAGAAGGATGGTGGGGGGTGATTAGTCAAATTGAAATCATAAGAAATATATAATTTTATTTACTTTTACAATCGCCAACATTTCGGCCCGAAGTTCAGGCCTTCATCAGGGCTGCTGTACAAGAAGTAAAGGAGGGAGGGGAGCTGTTATAAATGCTAAAATACAGCAGCTCCCCTCCTTCCCAATATAAATGCGTTTGTCTGACTTTACTTCTGCAGCAGCCCTGATGAAGGCTTGAACTTTGGGCCGAAACGTCGGCGAATGTAAAAATAAATAAAATTATTTATTTTTTACCACTTCAATTTGACTGATCACTCCAATCATCCTTCTCTTCAATTATTCACTACAGCCAACCATAAACCCACAATTAATATTAAAACGTTGCAAATTATTTCACAATGGTTTATTATTTCCAAACAATTATACATCTAAAGTAACATTACCTTCCGAGTTACAAAGAAAAAAAACAAAAGGTGATTCCAAGTATTGGACTAAACTTTTTTTTTAATCATTAGTAATATGCTAAAAAAAAAAGTAGCAGTTCAGTAACACATTCAAAATTTAAAAACCAAACCAAACCAAAGATATAACATTTGGAGTAGAACATATAAAAAAAACCGGAGACCATATCTCTGCTCATAATTGTCCGATTTTAACGATTTTTTTTTGTTTTTCAGGAAATTTTGTAAACTTTTAAAAAACTATATACAATATCAACAAAAAAGTTTAAACTTTTCGAGTTATTTGGAATTTAATTTTACCATCCCTCGTAACTTTTTTTCCAGCTTCTTTTCATTGAAGTATGTTATATAGATAAATTTAAAGGGCGTCGAGAAAATGACTTTAGCCAAGTTTCATTGAAATCTGTACATTCGTTTGGGAGCTACAGTCTATAGCAACGCAGGTTTTTCGGCCGCCATTTTGAAAGTAAAAGGTGGATAGAAATGTCGATGAAGGAGGATCATCCTCGGGTGACCTCTGATTTTATATCAAAATTTTTTAAAAAATCGGTCCAGTAGTTTCGGAGAAAATGCGCGCGCAGACAGCGGATGGACAAAAATATTTTTGTTCGTTTTTTGAATTCTACGTAAAAACTCAAATTTTGAGAGGGGGTTAAGTTTTTGAATTTTTTGGTATGTTAACAATGGTGGATTATTAAAAATAATTAACCATAAAAGTATGAAATAGGTTTCAATAAAATAACAACGAAAGCAATAAGTGTCCGATAACAATACAGAACATTTTGGTAAAATATTTTCCTTACCTCTTGTTGCCAAGGTATAGAGACAGATCCAGTATTGAATTTTGAATAAAACGTATCATCAGTAGCATCTAGGTTGACGCCCTTCACGGTAGAAAACTGCTCAATGTCAAGAACATCTTTGGCGTAGACCGCATGCGGCTAAACAATCATAAGGCAACATTAAATTTAAAATGATGTAGAGATGGTTGACCGTTGATATAATATGAGAAGGAGTTAATGGGGGGAGGGTGCGGTCAAATAAATACTAAATTAAAATATAGTAATTATTTAATTTTTGCCGACGTTTCGACCCACTTTGCAAGTCGTCTTCAGGGCTACAAAAGATACAAAACATGGTGAAAATAAAAAAATGAATATAAGTAGATATAAAATAAGAAGAAGTTGTCAGATACAGAAATAAAAAGATGATATCAGAGATATAGTGGGTGACAATGTAGTTAAAATATCAAGTATTATATATGTGAAAGATACAAAGAAATGGAAAATAAGTATGAATAAAAATTCAAAATAAAGGAGAATATAGCATGTAAGTTAAAAGTAAATAGATTGCGATAAAAGATAAGGAATAATTGTATAACAAGCAAATAGAGATTACATTTGATAACTGTGGGTTAACAGAAAAAGAAAATGAATGTTAACGAATAAATAGATTGAAAATTGAATAAGTATTGTTATAGTAAAGTTAAAATAAGAATAAGATAACATAATAATAAGATATCAGTGGATAGCAAGCTAGTGGAGGTTACATTTGTTTGTAAGTAAACAAATTGACGGTTAAGAAGGAAAGAAATTGAAAGATTAATAGGGTAACATTAGTGTAATATCGTTAGGATAGATTATTAAGTATAAATAACTATAAGAAAAAAATAATTTTAAAAGAGAACTTTAGAATGTAAGTATAAATGTAAAACAAGGTTATGATGATAAAAAAACAAGTTGTACTATATATAGATGAAAATTGACATTCAGTTTTTTGAAAGCGGTAATGGAATAGTAGGCTGCATGAAGATAATAATAAGGTGTATAGTTGAAGGATAGGTGTGTTAAGAAAAGAATCACTATATTTTAATTTAGTATTTATTTGACCGCATTCCCCGATTAACTCCTTCTCATATTAAATTTAAAATTTATTAGCTTGTAGTATCAATTGAGAAAATATCTCATTGTATTATAAAAAAATGTTATTATTGGAATTTATCAATAATGAAAAGAAGGGTGGTTGGAGTGATCAGTGAAAAATAAAAAATAATATTTATTATAATAAAAATATTATTATTTATTTTTGCCATTTTTACTTTGACTGATCACCCCAATTATCCTTCTCTTCATTATTCATTACAGTCAACCATCAACCCACAATTATGAATTTACCAATAATATGAAATACCAAAATTTTAAGTATTAATTAATAAAAACTATACAAGAAATAAATTTTACACTAAAATAAATTAAGATTATTTAACCTTAATTATTATTTGTACGATTACAAAAATCTTACATCAGGAACAAAAGGAGGATCGACCATTCCAGCTTCAAGCCTTTTCCAGTTGAGTGCTTTGAAGAAGTCATGCTGCTTCACTTCCCTGGCTCCGTATCTACCACAGTGGCAACCCAATCGAGATTTAACCGTCTTCTTCAATAACTAAAACAAATAACCAACAAATGTTAACTTTTTAAGTATAATCATCTTTCAATTGGCTATTTATTAAGTATTTTGTTAGAATGGGATAATATCAACTAAATGAAAATAGATTAATGTGTTTAGAAACTTTTTAAAATGAGCATGAATTAAAAAGAAAATCAAAATGATTTATTTTTTGTAATGGATGTCGAACTTTGGTGACTAAAAACTGAAGCAACCATGTAAAAAGATGAAATGATATTTATTAGCCCTGGAGACAGAGGCTAAAAATCGACCTGATCGCAGGCGAAGGTTTCATTGTTGATTACGAAAGTTTATGTTATTCTGAGTAAAACGAACCTTGCCTGCCATTCCTGAGTCGCTGCTTTCAAAAATGACGGCTTATTTAAAGAATATTAGATCAATAATTTGAGGATCGAAACAGGAAATCCATTGTGAAAATGTGAGATAAGTTTTTATTTTTTTAACTTGTATACATGGGTTTAGATATATAAAAACAAAATTGCTAACGCGAGCCACCAAGGGAAAACTTTTTACAGCCAAAAAAGACAGATTGTTTTGGTATTTTTTTTTTTGAGAAAAATGTATTCTATAATAAAGTAAAGAACATTACTACATTTTGCGTCACACAAGTACATAAACTTTATAATTTGGTTAAGCAGTAAGGTATAAAACCACTGTCAAACAATGCTGATTTTTACCAAATTTGTCAAAAACTGAGATACATTACTATAAATGGCCCTGTAACTTGGAAATGAGTTCCTCCCTAAGAGGAAAAACCCATAGAATCAAAGTTGTAGAGCATCAAATTTTGCGTCAACTGAGTATGAAGTTTTTATTGCAGGCCAATTATATATCTCAAATTGGGATTAGTTATTCCTTTATAAAATTCGGTATCTTTCGACACATTGTTTTATCAAAATCCTTTGCTGTTGAGAGGTGTGTTTGCAAATTACATAAGCTGTATATTTGCCAATGATAGTCCAATTTCGATGATTTTTTTTTTTTTGTTTTTATGGAATTCAATAATCGTTTAAATAATTATGAGTGTATTCAACAAAAAAAGTGTATACTTTTTGACTTGTTCAGAAATAAAGTTACTTTACATCTATAACTTTCTTGCCTGAATTTTCTGTTTGATGTGACTATTTTTCTCACTTGAAGAAGGAAATCTTTAAAATGATTTCATTCAATCAATCTTTGGATTTGATGAAAATTAACGAAGATATGGCATACCAACAAAGAAACACATTTCATAAATAATATTAACTCCTCCCTCTCGATCATAGGGACCTCAAGTTGACGAAATAAGACATATATTTCATAGCAACACTATAGTTAATATGAGGTTGTGTGGCTGTGAACCCTTTGCCTTGCATTATTCCAAAAATTTTTATCAAGATATGTACCAGACCAGGTCTTGATGTTCGCATCAAAATCTTCAAATCCCAATTCTCCCTGTCTCGATCCACTGACTTTATCACTCTCTCAGTACAGAGGTCTAGTGAAATTTTTATATATACTTTATTTATTTTAAAAAGAAAAACAATGGTGAGTACAATTCGCCAACCTCCTATGAGATACTGAATCCAATGGTACTCCATTCACGGCATTTGAGCATGACAGGAGCTTATATTTGGTACAAAACGAATTTCGAGCTTTATTGGAATAATATATGCAGGGATTTCTAGAAAATAAGAATAAACTTCATAGCGCACCTGTTTACATAGAGACTTGGCTTCCTCTGGAAACTTTGACGAATACTTTTCTTGGTCTGACTTGACCCTCCTGTCTACTTCTTCCCTCTTGACTTTTTCTTTCCTTGCCCGAAACGGAGCCTGCCCTTCGATCATTTCATAAACTAGACATCCGAAACTAAACCAATCTGGACTGAAAGTATATCTCTCATTGTCAATCACTTCAGGAGCTTAAACATTACAACAAAAATAATAATAAATTAATATAAATAAGTAATAAGCTACTTTTTGAAAAAAAAAAACATGAAAGATAAACACACCCATGTAGCCAACAGTCCCAACTCGCCCTCTCACCATTTCCCCTTCAGGTATTTCTACCGCCAAACCGAGGTCAGAGATTCTCACATGACCAGCATCATCCAACAGAATGTTCTCAGGTTTGCAATCTCTGTAAACTAAGCCTTGATAATGAAGATGTTCCAGTCCACATAGTACCTTAACAAATATAATAAAAATAATAAGATGAGAAAGTTCAAAATTAATAACATTTATTTCAGTTATAAGAAAATAATTTTACCTCTGCAGCGTAAAACCTAGCCCGAACAATGTCAAATCCTGGTTCCCCGCCCATATTATAAATATGGAATTTCAGGTCACCACCATTCATAATTGTCAAGACAAGGCAGAGTGCATCCTTCGTCTCGTAAGCATATGCCAAACTCACCTGCACATAAGTAATAAAACTTAATACGAATAAATACTTTGTTACTTTATATAATCATGATAAATGACAATGATATTCAAGAATTGCCTAAAACAGGATAAAATTCCTACAAGATATTTCAAACAAATGATTGTATGGCAAATGTGAGATTTCATAATAAATTTGTTAATTTAAAAAATTAAAAATATGGCTTTTGTATTGCATCAGCCTTAAATAAAAATAAACGGGATCAAAAGAGATTGGTAATTAGTATTGTCAGCTTGTGGATTATAATTTCTGATATAAAGATTCTTTTAAATGATCACAGTTTTTAAATACTAAAAAAACCTTTAAAACTAAACTACTGAAGATGTTTAGTATTAAAAGACACATAAGTTAATAATAAAAACTTTTTGTCAAGCAACAAAGAAAAATCAAAAAAGGATAACAAATTAGTGACTACAAGTGAATAGATACACGAAAAAAAAAAAAAAAAATCAAAATTTTTATTAAAAATCAGAAAAAAAAAATTAGTAATAACAAGAGTTAACTATTCATAATAATAAATATTAAATAACCAATTAAAACAAATGTTTAAATGAGAAAAATGAAATGAAGTTATTTCATTAAAATTAAGTTTAGTTTGATATTCATTTATTGTTCTTAATTTTTTAAGAGATTTAAAAAACATTTTACACAAATAAAATGTTTATTGAAGGAATCTAGTCAACTGTTCTACATATCCATGGGTGATAAATATTCAGGTAACAGTCTTTTTAAAAAAAAAATTTAATTTTTTATTTGTGCCAACATTTCAACCCAAACATGTGGGTCATCTTCGGGCGTGGTTAGAGCACTGAGCGTGTTTTCAAGTACTCGTAATAAATACAAGTAATTTTTTCTTAAAAAAGACTGCGCCCTAAATATTTACCACCCAAAATAAAATGTTTAGTATTTAAAAAAAATGTATTTATAAATATGGCATTATTCTCACAAAAATCCATTAATGTTTAATTAACAAACGGCCTCAGTGAACATATTGATTTATTTCATAGGAAAGGTTCAAAATCCACTTATTAACAACATCCAGGTTAAAAAAATTAACCAGCCTTAAAAAGATATCTTTACATTTAGCACAGCAAAATAATAAACAAGACTACATATAAGATTCAAAAGATTAACTGTAATGAATTTGAAGATATAAAAAGATAATAAAATGGAAAATTATGAATGTTATAAACTATAAAAAGATTAACTCAAAACAATAACTTATAAATAATGTTCTTTTAAGAATATTAAATGTTTTACTTTTAGACCATAGTAATTCTCTATATTCCTTCAATGAGAATTATTAGGCTTAAGTAATTCAGTCAATGTCCCTCTGTTAGGATGCGTAAGTGCTTACAGTCTTTTAGGACACTTACTGTAGACAGAGAGCCTGGAGTTAACTGTTGCTAAAAGATTCATTTGAATATTTCCTAAACTGCACTTCGATCTCATCATTGGCCAATCAAAAAACTATTACACTGAGGATCGTCTCAAAGACACTTTGTAACTCTACAATACTTGTCTTTAAAATAATGAAAGAAGGGAAATAATTAATTTTAAAACTGAAGGAAAATGTTTTCTCATAAATGCTTTATCATATATCGATGTTTTTTTTGTTGTGTTCTAGCCTAACTCGCATTTTAGGCAATATGGGATTCTCTCTGGACAGAAGGTGAGGGCAGGGAATAAATAGCGGAGTTAAAAGTTAAAGCCCCCAGCATCAAAACGCCAACTCATAATTATTTTATCATCTATAACTTTGGTTATCAGGTTGCCGGGCAACTCGTGGTGCTGTTGTGGTTCACAGGTGTTAGCCCGCTTGGCCACCCCGCCCCTTTTTATGTATGTAATGAGAATGAGGATACTGATAATTTTTTTATTTGTAAATTAATACATTCTGCCGCATTGGAGGGCATTAATATTAGGGCTACATTAAACATTCACACAATATATACATACAAATTATAACTAAAATAGAGATAAAAGAAAAAGAGTTGTGGAAAGTAAAATACGAAAATTAACATGCATAGGTAAAAAAAAAAAATAAAGAGAAGCTAAATGAAATTGAAATATATAAAACACATTCACACCTATATACAATATTTACATTCGCCCAGAGGATTCTGAGTCATGCTTTGTCCCCCAAATGTGGAAGCCAAGGCAGGACCCCAGGAGATTCCAGTGCTTCTCTCCCAGCCACGTCACTGGTATTGCCAGTGGAGACTGATGGAGGGCACTAGAGCAACAGACGCTCAGGACTTGGGTGGAGAATCTGGCCATTGCCAGTACTCCAATGTATACATATTTACAAAAGGTCGAAGGGCCACTGCCGTTCTAACCTCCGGGGAGGATTCTAGGGATGGCTGGAGCTAGATAGGGATTGTGCTACAGGATTTGGATAAAGAGTGAGTTTCTGGTGAAATTTGGAAAATTTGTCTGGTGGGTCAATAACAAATGGGATATGAAGGTCATTAGATAATTTTATTGTGTATTATTCTAATTATGTCTTATAGAAAAACATTTTTGGTTATGATATGTTACACACACAAAAGTTATGTTTCTTTTAAAGATTGTTGGATTAAATATGACAAGGTAGAGAGTTGCGACTGTACAGTAACATTTGCTTTCCATAGAGGACTACTTCCTCTTTGCATATTATTTATTGCTGTGAATATAATCTACATTACACCTCAAAATGCCAGCAGTAAAAATAATAAAATATACTGTAATCTAAATTTTATTCGCTGGTTTATTAATGATAAACATAACCCTAGATTGATTGTAGTAAATATGATTTACGTATATATATATATATATATATATATATATATATATATATATATATAAAATAACAATAATAATTATTTAGGAAGAAAAAGAAAGAAACTAATAACCTATATGAAATTGTGTTTAAGTGATTCTTGAAGACATATTAAAATGTAATTACACGAACAATAATACTTTTAGACACAATTTTTTTATAAGACATTTTTCCATTTTAGAGAGCTTCAGCCTGAAATCTCCTTTTCCCTTAGATGCGCCCATGCAACGATATACATAGTTTTCAAGTGATAAAAGTATAAATAGATATTCATTAACTTACAACAAATTTAGAGTTTATTTTCTGCAGAATTTGTTTTTCAATTAATACCATGGCTTCTCCTTTTCTTTTTTTAATCCTTTTTTTCTCTAACTTTTTGCAGGCATACATTTTCCCAGTTGCTCGAACTTGACATGCACATACTTCTCCGAAGCCACCTTTACCGAGGACTCTGTACATTCTAAAAGTTTTGTAGGTCACAGGTTGACTAAAAAGAAAAAACAAGTACTTTTTTAGAAATAATTATCACTAAATAACAAAATGTTAAAGCATAAATTAAGCTTCAAACTAGATTTTGACTAAACATCAAATCATTTCCATTAAAGTAGGAACTTATCAGGTTTTCCACCAGTCATTATTATATAAACCACAAATAAGCATATAAGCTATAATGCACAATATAAGCTATGTAATTAAGAACAATCAAAGTATTTTTTCTTTTAAATTAATCGGACTAAATACTTCTAAATTATTTAATAATGCAAAAATACCTTTCAAGCCACTTCCATTGTAAATACCGATGAAAATACATGGAATCCTCAAAAAGATGGAATGGTTCACCAGCCAGAAATGTTTTGACAGTTGCCTTCATATCATCAAATAGTTCACGGTTCCCAGAGTTCAGTTTTTCTTTAACTGCCTCGATCAATGACTGATTCAAAACATCTATCGGCGATGGTGCCTACAAAGGTGTCACAAATTAATTTTGAAGTATTGTTAAAAAAAAATTAAATTCAAGTTCAAAATTCAGAAATGAAACTTCATAAAAGAACACTACTTACACAAAAATACAAGTTATAATATGAATTATAAACAATTTAAAAAAAAAATTAAACAAATAATAAAATAAGGCAGACCTTAATCAAGTGAGCATTTTAAGTTTTACTATTGTTTTGAAAATTTATATTTTATTTCTAATTTAGCAAACGTAGCTCGCATAAATGTGATACAAATTAAGTTCATGGATATTCAGAAAAACTACTTCTAACAATATAAAATCTAATATTTTAAATCCCACAGTTTATATTACAACAGAATAGAACTGAAAAAAAAAAGTCTGAGGAAATATGTAGTGTCACTACTGTTATTAACTCATTGATTTACCATACAATACACAACAAGAAACTCTCACTATGGGTTTGGAAGATAGCCAAAGAATAGAATTTTGGTCGAAGCAAAGTGATCCTATGACACTTCAAAAATAAAAATGAAATTAGGCCCAATCCTCTATTCTATATACACCTCTGATATCCATGAGCAACCTAGTACCACCATTTATTGCTTCGATGATAACTTACAAAATAAGCGACTGATATACAACACCTTAATGAGACCAATATGGACATATGGAGCAGAACTTTGGGGTTCAGCAAAACAAGCACACATAAACAAAATACAAACAGCACAATTGAAAATTTTATGAAAAGTTGTTAACGCACATTGGTACGTTTCAAATAATATTATACATAACGACTTAAACAACCCAACAGTAAAATCCTACATCCACGACAAATACATTTCATTCTTCAACCCAAAATCACTCCAATCCTCTGTTTTTTTCTATCTTCTACTCCCTGTTACCTCAAGGACTCAGATTAAGAAAATGGCTAACAGACCTCCTATATTGATAAAAACAAAATCAAGCAAATACACCAAAACAGTATAAAAATAACAAATTTGCTAGATGTGCTGCCGTGCAGGTGCAAATTGCATAGAATATAAATAAAAAAATTAAATATTCATTTGTCGTATAGCTCTTCAGTTTTGAGATTTCAATAGGAGTAGGTGACCAGGGATTAGATGAGATACTTGCTATGTTTGTTTATACATTCATACTGGAGGTCATGATAGACAAGCACAATGGGACAAGTGCTGATTCGAAGTACGGGTTTGATTCTCATCTGACTCGAAATAGTATGTGTTTGGTTCAAATTTACTTATTGGTGGAGAGAAAGAAGTTATGACACTGCCAACTAATAATTATACAAGTATTTGTACATTCAGACTTGTCTGACACGACAGTTCGTAGTATGAAAGAGTGTGAAGGAATTAACAAAACCACTTTCAGACTCACAACATGAAACCCAAATGTCTTTATATCATAAGGATGCATTATGCAGCTGATACATGGGTAATAAGAAGACTATTTTTACTGTTCAAATATTCTTAATTCAGCTAAAATAATAAAATTATTTTCTCAAATCTATTCTATCTTGGAATTTTACTCTGCAGTTTAGAGATATTTAGCACCTTAACTTCAAATCTTCATAATTCCTCTCTGTTACAAATAATAATAATGTCGCTACCTTTTTCCAGCACCTATAGTTTACTGAACCAAGTTTCCTTCTCAATTTTTAAGAATAATTCAAGCTCAGAAAACCAATGCTGGCAATTTTAAGATAATTAACAGCTTCAATTTGCTCAGTAAACTTATGTGTAAAAAATATGAATTATTCATCAGCCATTGTTTCATCAAAATCCATTTTTTCTTTTTATCATCAGGCAATAACAGAACTGTACAAGCGAAACCAGCTGAACTTATTGGTTGTCAAGACGTAACTGACATTTAGCAGGATAAAGAGTAAAACAATACCATCCAGTAGTTCGATCCATATATAAGTGGGTGTAAGTGGTTACAGTCAAAATTTAAACAGATATCTTCCTTCAACAGGCATAAGTTACTGAAGATTGAATAAACATTTTTCAATTACAAGTTAGCAAGTTCTCTAAACAGTATATTCTACATGTTAGTATAGAAAACGAAACGGCTTATCATATTAATTGATACTATAATGTTTCTCCTTGCTTAATCGGCAATTACTGCATTATGGAAACAAAGCTTTAATGAATAATGGGGCAGTCAAATCATGAAATATACAATAGGACTACTGAGACAGCATTTACTTACATAACAGAAAAAAGGAATTAAGATATAGTTTTAAACAAAAAGAAAACATTCCTGCAGATCATTTTTGACTACTTAGCAACCAATAAACTAATTGTTTATCACTAGTTGCACCTAAAGTAAGTGAAATATAAAACAATAACACAACAAAGATGATAATAATTGATAACTATACAAATATGACAGACATATTAGTCTAGGAAGTACAAACATAAGTTAATATATCTTAAAATTAGCATTGTAATTCCTTTTACTGTCATATTATTAAATTTTCATTTAACCAGTTTCTTTCTGTTGGCTATTCATCTGGCCAGCAGTACTAAATTAAGATCATATTTTCCAGAACTATTATTTATTTCTTCCTTTAGCCGATTTATTTAATGAATTCAAAAATATTGAGTGGAACTTTAAGGAACTGAAGCAGTGAGATAGAAACAAATTGTAGATCAAGAAATGACAGCCAAAGCCACGTTTGCTGTCTGGAGTTCATTAATCAAACAACCTCTATAATTTTAAATAACAGTATTTAATCAGCAGGAGACAACCCTAATCATTTTTCATAAATGTCATGAAGGGAAGGAGAATTGATGAAGGGATATACTTCATGAAAATATCAAAAGATTTTAACATTTTCTTTTTTTTTTTTAGCACAAACATACATACATATCCACAACAAATACATATGGATATTTTAAAAACATGTCCATAATTTGTACTTCGGATATTGATGTTGTTGGGAAATATTGTTATAGTAGTTTCACTAGTTTCTCCTTCTCATAAATAATACCAAGAATTATAAACAAAAGAAATAAATAAAAATACAATCATCCTGATTCATTTTATTTATTTATTTTTAATTAATGGAGTATTGACAAGTTAAAAAATATTGTTAATTTAATTTCCAACACAACTTACATCAATCAAACATTAATTATTTATAACTTTTTGTACTTGAACAAAGTCTGAAAAACTCTAGCCTTCGGAGAAGTGTTCCTTAATCAGGATTGTGGCCCTTCTTGCAATACCTTCATTTTCTGTAATGGTGCATTTTAAATTGAATTCCTTTATATTCTCTTGTTCATAATTCGATCTTTAAAATGCAATGCCTGATATTGACATACTTATTTTAATTAATTACATCAGTGTTAAATTACATTTTAAAAAAAAACTTGATATAACAAACATTATGCCAACACATGAAAATTCGATCGCTCCTTTGCAACTCATGTAAATAATACATGCTTAATGTTGCTTTTATTTGTATTCTACAGGTAACCAAGTTTATTATAAACAGAGTGGGAAGGTCGAGATGCATTCTGTGGGTCCGCCACAAAATAAATTTCAACCCACTCACATCACATTCAAACTTTTCTCAGTATATTAGACTCCAAGCCTGTTTTTTAAATAAATAAAAATATTCTCAATTCATCACAGTGGACATTTATAAGTAACCCATGATGTTCAATACAATCATTATTTGGGAATGATTAATTTTACTATATATAATAGCCAATTTTATATAATGATAAAACTATCAGTATAACGTCTCCTTCTCTCCTCCAATTGGGTGTTCTGGGTTTGAGAGTATGAATGTATGAAAATTAAAAATAATAATACAATAATATTGAAAGAAATCAATAATACAGTTACTATTATGGATAGTTTAATGTAAAATGCTGTCTAGAACAATAATCTATTCTGTTTTCGAGCAAATTTGCAAGGAAATTAATAATAACAAAGTTAGTACATATTTATACAGAACTTTAAAACATGTCAGAACTATATTAATATATTTTTCAATTATCTGTGAATTTTACTTAAGTAAAAAAATATATATATAGAGAGAGGAAGATAAAAATAATTAAAACCTAATAAATAAGTCTAGTCTAAAAAATTAATACTACTTTGAAAACAGTTCAGGCTACGCTTATTGTAACATTAACTTTTGGGATTTGAGGAAAACATTAACAAAAGCTAAAAATAACACTTAAAAAATGGATTATTTCAAAAGATATTATGGGCAGGAGACAGTATCAACAGAAATCACTAATAAACATAAATGTCCATTTAGGAACTTATTTTATTTATTTGGAAATATAATATTCTGTCACGTGGACAATAATTATAGTGAGATATGAACATATTCACACCATGAACATAAATGTAGAGAGAATAAAATGCTGGTTAAGACAAAACAATGAAATATCATTTATTTTGTACAATATAACAAACATAAATAAGAAGATCAGAAGCAGATTATATTAGTTAAGCAAAAAAATAATCAGTCCAAGTCAAACAGATAATATCTAAGATCGATCACTTGTATCTTCAAAAAAAAAAAACTTTTTAAAGTAAAAACCTAGTTAATAATTTGTATAATAATAACAGAAAATGAATTATGTTAATACACGACACTCACGTGATTTTTCAGGTATCTGTCATATATGTTTTGGGCTTGATCCACCCGATTCTCATCAGATTCCACTTCATACTTTTCCTTTAAATATCAAGATATAGTTAACTTGGCAACATATGTGAATAAAAGAACTAGTAAAAACTGAAAACAGAATACTTACAATAGAATCAAGGAAAACATTATACCTATGATATTTCGGTTTGGCTTCTTGACAAAATTGTCTGAACAAAAGCCTACCGATTGGCTGCTGATCAACAACATAGCTATACTTTACATCTGCAAATAAAATGTATGGCAAATAAAAATAAGACCGATAAGATTCCAAGACACTCATATTTCAATCATGACTATCTAGAGCTCACCTATTTTGTTTTTTAAATGTAAACATTGAGAAACATGAGGAAATTGTAATATTTTCTTCCATTTTTTGCTCTTTCCCTTGTTACTATCTGCACCACCTAAAATGTTGTATTGGTTAAAATTTAAAAATCAACTGTTTCTCTTTATTCTGTCACGAATGATTCCAAAACAAAATAATAACTGATAAAAGCTATAAAAAAAGAATATATAATGTAACTGTTATTGTGGATAAAGATACAGTATTAAGGTCAATAAATATGTTTCAAGTAAAAATTTTATTTTTTGTTCCAATCTGGATAGATTAAATATTAAAATTTGTTATCTGGGACGAATTTACAAATCAAAGAAATATATTAGCCACCAAAATATGCTTCAATCAATAAAAAAAAAAAGAGAATGTGTAATGAGTGAACATAACCTAATGCATGCCAGTATTATTGTAGCTCTTAAGCAATAGCCAACTAATGTAATATTCACCCCAAAATCGTCTACACTCTTTAAATAACCTAAATTAAATCGCTAAACAAAAATATATATGGAAGCACATGTAGTAAACAAAAACATAAATTAATAATTGGTCATCAAAAGGGAAGTAAACAAATATGTAAACACGAGATCTATTTATTGCAGCTTTATCTCAAGGCAAATATGTTTAAGTATGTTCATTAAAGCGGATTAAGAGAAGTGTCTGGGTGGTTTTAAATTTAATGCTGGCCCTGTATACTGTAGAAAGGAGCTTTTAATGCTCTGTTTATTGATTTGTCAGGGAGTGTGTGTGTTGAGTAAAGGAATCGTTCCTTACCTTCCCTGGCTTTGAGATAAACCGTATTGGCCACAATATTCTCCAATTCCATTAGTTCCAGTTTGATGGATTTCCCGTCCCCCGGGCCGATGACGACCCGTTCCCATTAAAGAGGTGTATGACTTGATTTTAAAATACGATGGGGTGTGGTGGTGTCGGTCTCTAAAATGGCGACAAGCGGGCACTGTGGTACGAGCTGTGTTGCAGGTGCCCCCCTCCGAAGATCGCGGTCCCTCAAGGTGCCTGAGGACGATACGAACAGAAGAGTATCTACTGGGGCTACTTGGGCCTCATCGCACACTCCTACGACACTAAGCTATCTCTACCAGCGGTGGGGCCAAACTGACCGGGAGCGGGATCCATTCACTCGGCGCTGCCAGCTCGTCGATAACCGTTACTTCACTAATAAATTATATTTCTTTTTTACGCTTATAGATAATTATATTAAGTAATTTATCGTTTATTCAATTCAGAATAATTACTCTTATTTTTTATTTGTATTCTATGAGTTAATTATTTAGATTTATTACGATACTATGTGTACCACTGCTTCCATTAAATTTTTTTTTTTTTTCGTTTTCGTTGTCAACCCTGATTAGAAAGAAGTTTGGAATATATTTGTTAACTAGTTGAAATTTTACTGTATCAAATAAACTCTTATTAATTATTCATATGTATAATTGATGTCATGTAATAATGTTTTATTTTTTATTTAAATCATTATAAAGTAGTAAATGTTACGAAGAAAATTTTATTTTATTACAGTGTTCTTTAACTATAGTGCAGTGTTATTTAGCAGCAATTGAAAGAAAAGAAGCAAATAAATGGAATATCATAGACATCTTCACCCTTTTTCATAATCTGTGGTTAGTAAATTTTAAATTATACTTTATAATCAACATACATTTATTTTCTAATTACCCCTAGAATGATTGATAATAGATTTATAATCTTTATTATCATGAGTATCTCAATTTTAATTTGAACAACTATGAACTTTGTCTAATTAGTTACATATTAATCTCCGCCTACTTTAGAATTGTTTTTATTAACTGTTCAACTTAACTATTTACAAGGTGTTCTTAAGAATGTAAAAAACTTATTACACAAAATATCTCTTATTTCCACCAATTTCAGAATTAAAATAGATTAAAATTTTATGTACATAGACTTACAGTTATTGTTATTTAGCGAAAAAAAATATTTAGAAATTATAATTTAAAAAAAAAAAACATTAGGACAGTAAGCTTTATTCACGAAAGCTTACTCTTAATTAAGATATTTAAAACATTTTTTTATTAATTATTAATTTACTTTAAAAAAAACAGTAACTGTTATTAATAATAATGATTTTCTAACGATCTATTTAAAATATATATATTGAAATATAATAATATAAAACAAATAACCACTTGAATATTTGTGCTTCCTATAGTTTGTGAAATGTCTAAACGCACCTTTAAGTTTTTCTTTTAATCGTGGAGATATAGTTGATCTTAGAACAAATCAAAGAAGTTAGGAAGTCACAGACATTCATGAAATAACTAAAACAATTCACCATGTTTTCCCGCCCATCGAATCGATTAAATCTATACGTTTGTATCACTTAACATTTTCTTTTACGGCTGTGTATAGAATCAAATAATCCTAATGATTTTGAGGGAAATGGGTCTTTTGGAAAAATTGTGAGTTTTATCGGAAATATTTATCATTAATCTTGCCAAAAAATTAAAATAACGTTAGTAAATATAATATATTATTAGGTTTATATTAGTAGATCCTTATTTCGCCTGAAAACTTTTTTAGAAAGTGAAATATAAAAGTTAAATCAACAATATGAAAGCCGTGTCCAGAGGAGTTGAAGAGTAAAGGGAGATCGGTAATGGTCGGGTGCTCTCGGCTGTTTTCGTTTAATTCCCAACCCTTATTTCTTCTTGAGTTACCAACGCTCTACATTCATTATATTTAACCATTTTTTATACTAGATTATAATGTGAAATGGTTAATTATTTCTAATAAAATAAATTAAAGGTATTTTAGAGAAAGAAATTTTGAAAATTAGACATTTAAACTCTGTAGAGAACATCGATGAAGAAAGACCTACATTATATTAAAAACAGCTTTGTTTTACCTTGATATAATGAATTTAATTAATTTTTTTAGAGCCATTTTCGAGACAATTGTAAAATGGATAATATAAAGTGACACTTCCGGTTAACTAATTTTTACAAAAAAATTACTGTACAAACCTGAAAGACTCAATTTCATTTGCGTACGACTTTTCGTTTTTTAACTACTGTTCACATACATGCACACAAACACACTCAGAAACAAAGACACATGTTATTTGGACTCAGAGGACCTCAAAACATGTATTTTCGTTGAAAACTCAAATTCCAAAATTTAACGATCGCAATACTTTCCTTCTATATATTACATATGTACGTAAGTGGAAGTCTTAATAAAGCTTAATTTATTGTACGCCAGCGTATTTGTATTTAATTTTTTTTTCACGCTTTAATTCATTAATTATTTGTATTTAATAGTAAAAAAAGTTCGTTTGAAACTAAAAACATACAACTCTCCCAATATTGCCGCTTCAAGCAATTGATTGGTCTGCTTGTGTGGAAATTCGCCACAGGATGAAGTTCTAGAACTTTGTCCGAAACGTCGGCACAAAAAAATAAGGTTTTCTTTGTGAGTTATTTAATCAATGACCTCACACCAACTTCTGCTACATTTTAAGTTTTGTGTAAATTGATTTACTTATAGGAAGTTATCCTTCAGAATGGTAGTTACGACTTTCCTGTTTAAAGATAATATTTTTCCTCCAAATACAGAATGTGACCGATGCTAATTTGACCAATTAATTCCAATGTTTGTATTCGAAACTGTTTTGTCTTCTCTGAGTAATAACAGGTCTAATTATAACTGACTTCATTCACATTTTACAGAAAATCATCAATACCTTATTATTAGTTAATTTATTATTTATATTTATTTTACATATATATTTTTTTAAAGGTTTTATTATTCAAGCTTAAGGCTTTATCTTGAGTGTTTTTTTACTTCATCTAATATAGTCATATTTAATGGTAAATAGTGCTGCCCAAATGCGAGACCGAAACGAGTCTTGTCTTGCAAACTCAGTCTTGGTCATGGTCTTGGTCTTGCTGCAGAGTTGCAGTTACTTATTAGCTTATTACTATAGAGATATTACTGTATATTTTTAGATTGTAGAAACCTAACTAAGCTCGAATGAAAAATTAGAGGAGTTAAATGCAAAAGTATATTGGTTATACCAATTATTAACATATAGCAACTAAAATTGTCTAGTATTTGTAACTATTTTGCCTTAATTTTTATTTTAAAAAATCGATTTTTTTTTACCAATCCTGGTCTTCGCAAAATGCCAGAACAAAACCGCTTTTGGGCAACACTAATGGTAAAATATTTAATTTTCTTTGACAAAACTATAGATAATCCTCATACCAGTTCATGGTCATAATTTATACAGTTTTTAGTTCCATATATATTTAATTTATGTACATACACCCAAACTATCTAAATATACGTAAGCGAGGTTCCCACATCTATGTGTGCTATAAATGTTTGCAGATGTGTTACTACTTTCTATGACAATCAGTCGTGTTTATATCTAATAATTGTTTATTAAATCACGAAAATTAGTCATTCGCATAAAGACCTGAAAATGTGGGCCACAAACTTAGATTTATTTTTTCATCAGATGAGATAAATTTTAACTAACAATAAAAATACGTGTTAAATATATCTTTATATACATAGGCTTGAGTTGACCTTATCCTCTCTCTAGAGCTTATAACTAAATTAATAAAACACCTATCTTATGTAAGTTGTTGCCAACATTTTGGAATTTTGGCTGGTAATAAGTTGTTGAAAAGAGTGTCTGCCAATTGTTGAGATTTTTCAAAATGTTTTTTTCGTTTTGTGAGAAATTCTTTTACTGTTGATAAATTTAGCGCTGATGTATATCCAATGTTTTAAATCTCTGCATCGTGGTTCCTCTTACTATTTTTCTAATTATTCCATTTTGGAAATATTGTATCCTCTTCCCAGTTGTTTTGCTGACATGATCAAACAGAGGTGCACCATACGTCAGAGCCGGCCGTATTATATTTGTATAGATAGGTTTGTTGTTCTAATTAAATTTTGGAATCTGTACGTCTTAGATTTTACTGTTTTGATTTTTTCGTCAAAATGTCTAGTAAATTTTAAATGTCTGTCGAAGTGAATACCGAGATATGTTAAGTCAGTCGATAATTTAATACGGTTGTTAATTTGGAATTCATTTGGCATTTTCTTTTTTCCTATTTGATATTAAAACATAATTCCTTCGTCTTTTCAGGATTAAGATATATGTTTAGGATCTATCACTAGCGGATCCAGGATTTAATTTTTGGGGGGGGGCTTGAGCCCGAAACCTTTTTTTTTTTCATAAAAATAACGATAATTACTTTGGAAAAACAGAAAGAAACTAACTACCTATATGAAATGGTGTTTAAGTTATTCCTTAAGTACTTTTAAATGTAATTACACGAACAATAATACTTTAAGAGGTATTTTTTAATTTTTTTTTCCCATAAAACATGGTTATATTTTTCCATTTTGGGGGGGACTTCAGCCCGAAAGCCCCCACCCCGTAGGTCCGCCCGTGGGATCTATGTTAAATATTTTGAATAACGATTCATTTTATGTAATGGAAAAACATTGTTTTTTGAGCGAGAACGACTAGCGTATTGAAATTGGCTTAAATAACAATAATTGCTTGATGATAAAATTTTTGGCCATACCTGGTCTATTCCAGAAATCAAATTTTTATTTATTTGTAAACATATTCTCTGAATCTAAGTTGGATAAATAATGATGATAAATCAAAATTGTTTTTCAAAATTTTCTAGGCAATTAGACGTTTTGAAGTCCCAAAATCACTATAATTTTATAACAATAATATGAGTAAATCTAAACCTTTCTAGAATTATTTTTTTCTTTGTTTTGGAATCCATATTTTTGTTCTTTTTGATATATTATTTTTAAAAAAACAGAAAGAAGAAATTATTTACTCCATTTTATAATATTAATATCTAAAAACTTATTTTCCTGGACATGAAATAATTGTATCATTGATGTACATAGCCTTAATTCTTTTTTATTTCTGTTTAAATTCAGAAGATCTTTTTCTTCCTCAATTTTTTTAAAGTTTTGTTATAAAAATGATTTCAAAACATCTCACTAAGAATATTTATCCAATTGAAATTCTTCAACAGTATTCATCGATGGTTCCGAAAAT